GTGCGAAAATCATGATTTATAGTCTTTGGCATGAAAATGTGTTAAAATCATGAACTATAGTCTTTGGCATGAAAATGTGTGAAAATTCATGAACTATAGTCTTTGGCATGAAAATAGGTGGAAATGCATGAGCTAAAGTCTTTGGCTTGAAAATGTGTGAAAAAGCATGAATTATAGTTTTTGGTATAAAAATGCTTGAAATGCTAGTCTTTGATATGAAAATGTGTGAAAATCATGAAATATAGTCTGACATGAAAATTTGTGAAAATCATGGATTATATATAGTCTGTCGCATGAATATGTGTGGAAATCATGAGCTATAGTCTTTTGCATGAAAACGCGTGAAAATGCATGAACTATAGACTTTGGCATGAAAATAGGTGGAAATGCATGAATTATAGTCTTTGGTATTAAAATACATGAACAGTAGTCTTTGGCATGAAAATGTGTGAAGCATAATCTTTGGCATAAAAATGTTTGAACTATAGTCTTTGGCATGAAAATGTATGAAAATTATCAACTACAGCCTTTGGCATGAAAATGCGTAAAAATGCATGAAGTATAGTCTTTAACATGAAAATGTTTGAAAATGCATGAACTATAGTCTTTGATATGAAAATGTGTAAAAATGCATGAAGTATAGTCTTTAACATGAAAATGTGTGAAAATGCATGAACTATTGTCTTTGGCATGAAAATGTGTGAAAATGCATGAACTATAGTCTTTGGCATGAAAATGTTTGAAAATCCAGAAACTATAGACTTAAGCATCAAAATGTGTGAAAATGCACGAACAAAAGCCTTTGGCATAAAAATGTTTGAAAATGCACGAACTATAGACTTAAGCATGAAATGCGTGAAAATGCATGAACTAAAGTCTTTGGCTTGAAAATGTGTGAAAATGCTTGAACTAAAGTCTTTGGCTTGGAAATGTGTGAAAAAATATTGAACTAAAGTCTTTGGCATGAAAATGTGTAAAAATCATGAACTATACTCTTTGGCATGAATAATGTGTAAAAATCATGATTTATTGTATTGGGCATGAAAATGTATGAAAATCATCAACTACAGCCTTTGGCATGAAAATGCGTAAAAATGCATGAACTATAGTCTTTAACATTAAAATGTTTCAAAATGCATGAACTATAGTCTTTGGCATGAAAATGTGTAAAAATCATGATTTATAGTCTTTGCCATGAAAATGTGTTAAAATCATGAACTATAGTCTTTGGCATGAAAATATATGAAAATCATCAACTACAGTCTTTGGCATGAAAATGTGTAAAAATCATTAACTATAGTCTTTGGCATGAAAATGTGTGAAAGTCATGACCAAGAGTCTTTGGCAGGAAAATGTATGAAAATCATCAACTACAGTCTTTGGCAAGAAGATGTGTGAAAATCATGATTTATAGTCTTTTGCATGAAAATGTGTAAAAATCATGAACTATCGTCTTTGGCATGAAAATCTTTGAAAATCATTAACTACAGTCTTTGGCATAAAAATGTGTAAAAATCATGATTTATAGTCTTTGCCATTAAAATGTGTTAAAATCATGAACTCTCGTCTTTTGCATGAAAATGTGTGAAAATCATCAACTACAGTCTTTGGCATGAAAATGTGTAAAAATCATGATTTATAGTCTTTGGCATGAAAATGTGTTAAAATCATGAACTATAGTCTTTGGCATGAAAATATATGAAAATCATCAACTACAGTCTTTGGCATGAAAATGTGTAAAAATCATTAACTATAGTCTTTGGCATGAAAATTTGTGAAAGTCATGACCAAGTGTCTTTGGCAGGAAAATGTATGAAAATCATCAACTACAGTCTTTGGCAAGAAGATGTGTGAAAATCATGAACTATCGTCTTTTGCATGAAAGTGTGTGAAAATCATGATTTATAGTCTTTGGCATGAAAATGTGTAAAAATCAGGAACTATAGTCTTTGGCATAAAAGTTTGTGAAAATCATAAATTATAGTCATTGGCATGAATATGTGTGAAAATCATAAACTATAGTCTTTGCCATGAAAATATGTTAAAATCATGAACTATAGTCTTTGGCATAAAAATAGGTGGAAATGCATGAACTAAAGTCTTTGGCTTGAAAATGTGTGAAAAAGCATGAATTATAGTCTTTGGTATAAAACTGCTTGAACTATAGTCTTTGGCATGAAAATGTGTGAAAATTTATGAAGTATAGACTTTGAGATGAAAATGTTTTAAAATGCTTGAACTATAGTCTTTGCCATGAAAATGTTTAAAAATGCATGAACAAAAGCCTTTGGCATAAAAATTATTGAAAATGCATGAACTATAGTGTTTGGCATGAAAATGTGTGAAAATGCTTGGGCTATATTCTTTGCCATGAAAATGCGTGAAAATGCATGAACTATAGTTTTTAACATGAAAATGTTTGAAAATGCATGAACTATTGACTTAAGCATGAAAATGCGTGATAATGAATGAACTATATTCTTTGCTATGAAAATGCGTGAAGTATAATCTTTGGCACAAAACTCTGTGAAAATGCATGAACTATAGTCTCTAACATGAAAATGTTTAAAAATGCATGAACTATAGACTTAAGCATGAAAATGTGTGAAAATGCATGAACTATAGTCTTTGGCATGAAAATGTGTAAAAATCATGATTTATAGTCTTTGGCATGAAAATATATGAAAATCATATACTACAGTCTTTGGCATGAAAATGTGTGAAAATCATGAACTATCGTCTTTTGCATGAAAATGTGTGAAAATCATGATTTATAGTCTTTGGCATGAAAATGTGTGAAAATCATGTCCAATAGTCTTTGGTATGAAAATATGTTAAAATCATAAATTGATCAGCATAGGCAGGAAAATGTGTGAAAATCATGAGCTATAGTCTTTGGCATGGAAATGTGTGAAAATCATGAACTATCGTCTTTGGCATGAAATGTGTGAAAATCATGATTTATAGTCTTTGGCATGAAAATGTGTTAAAATCACGACCAATAGTCTTTGGCATGAAAATGCCTGAAAATCGTGAACTATATTCTTTGGCATGAAAATGTGTGAAAATCATGAACTATTGTCTTTGGCATGAAAGTGCGTGAAAATCATGAACTATAGTCTTTGGCTTAAAAGTGCATGAATTATTGTCTTTGCCTTGAAAATGTGTTAAAATCATGATTTATAGTCTTTGCCATGAAAATGTGTGAAAATGCATGAACTATAGTCTTTGGTATGAAAATGTGCAAAAATGCATGAAGTATAGTCTTTGGCATAGAAATATGTGAAAATGCTTGAAAAATAGACTTTGTCATGAAAATGTGTGAACTATAGTCTTTGTCATAAAAGTGCGTGAACTATAGTCTTTGTCATGAAAATGTGTGTAAATTTATGAACTATAGTCTTTGGCATGAAAATATGTGAAAATGCATGAACTATAGTCTTTGGAATCAAAATGTTTGAAAATGCATGACCGTAGTCTTTGATATGAAAATGTGTGAAAATCCATGAAGTATAGTCTTTGATATGAAAATGTGTGAACTATAGTCTAATAGTCTTTGTCATAAAAATGTCATAGTCTTTGTCATAGTCTAAATAGTCTTTGTCATAAAAATACGTTAACTTTAGTCTTTGTCATGTAAATGCGTTAACTATAGTCTTTGTCATGAAATTGCGTGAACTATAGTCTTTGTCATGAAAATGCGTTAACTTTAGTCTTTGTCATGAAAATGCGTGAACCGTAGTCTTTGATATGAAAACGCGTGAACTATATGAAAACGTTTGGCATGAAAACGCGTGAACTATTGTCGTTTGGTATGAAAATGTGTGAAAATCCATGAAGTATAGTCTTTGATATGAAAATGTGTGAACTATAGTCTAATAGTCTTTGTCATAAAAATTTCATAGTCTTTGTCATAGTCTAAATAGTCTTTGTCATAAAAATACGTTAACTTTAGTCTTTGTCATGTAAATGCGTTAACTATAGTCTTTGTCATGAAATTGCGTGAACTATAGTCTTTGTCATGAAAATGCGTTAACTTTAGTCTTTGTCATAAAATGCGTGAATCGTAGTCTTTGATATGAAAACGCGTGAACTATATGAAAACGTTTGGCATGAAAACGCGTGAACTATAGTCGTTTGGCATGAAAACGCGTGAACTATAGTCTTTAGCATGAAAATGTGTGAAAATGCATGAACTATTTTCTTTGGCATAAAATGCGTGAAAATGCACGAAGTTTAGTGTTTGGCATGAAAATGTATGAAAATACACGAAGTATACTCCATGAAAATGTGTGAAAATCTGTGAATTATACTCTTTTGGTGAAAATAAAAAAAAATGTGAATTCATAGTGATTTAGATAAGTGGGAATAATATGTGTAAATTATATTTTTTGCCTGAAAATGTTTAAAAATGCGTGAGTCTCATGGTGAAAATGTGAAAAAACGTGCAAATTATATATTTTGCATGAAATGCGTGAATTATAGTCTTTGCGTGAAAATGTGTAGAAATGCGTGAAAATGTGTGAAAATGCGCGAATTAAAGTCTTGACGTGAAAATGTGTGCAATTGCGCGATTTATAGTGTTTATTTTATTTTCACGCCAAACAGTTAAAGTCACGCATTTCATCGCAGAGCCGGCAAAGGCAAAAGTTTACGGCATTTTCACGCTAAACAGTATTATTCACGCATACCACCATCTTTATGCTATAGAATTTTTTAATTTTTAAAAGATTTGCACGCAGTTTATGTTTTGTTATAATATATACAACCTGTAACTTGAAGAAATTGAAAAGTAAAAGATCCGCTTATAGAGAACGCCCACGCTTCAAACAAAACGCTGCTGCTCTCGCCCTGTTGTTTTTTGGGAGGGAGTAATCAATCTCTGACAGAACTTTGGCTTCATCCAATCACAGGGCATTCTCTATGGAAGTTATCATCCAGTATACCATGATGCACTCATTGTTGGTGCTTTGCTCTTTGCTCTGGCGCTTTCTGGTTGGCGCTTCAAGTCGAAGGTCGAAGGTGAATGTCTCCAAAACAAAATGGTAAACGAAAACAAAGATGATCACGAAATCCAGTCACAATTCGACGGTAGCGAAGAAAGAATCAGTGCATTCAAGTTGACAAAATTTCCACAGACAAGAGTGCGCAATATGATGAAATTGGATCCCGATTTACATTTAGCAAGTCAAGAATCTGTACATGTGATTAGTAAGGCAGCGGTAGGTTCGCTTACTGAAATTCTGAAACATCCATTCAAAGTAAAATACCACAAAAAATGATACCATATTTATGGTATCATTTCGTCCGTAGGAATTGTTTGTGGAATATCTTGCTAAAGAGGCTTATGAAAGAACTGCTCAAGGAAAGAGAAAAACTATTCAGAAGAAAGACCTAGGTATGTTGTTTGAATTTGCAAACAGTGACAGTGCAAGCCATAGTCATGCTATTTAAATTTATCTGTGTTCCTTGATGAGAAAAACAATAGATTTCTAAAGGAACGAACACACTGAAAATGCTGTAAACTTTACTGAAACTTTGCAGGCCAGATTTGCTAGTAATGGCCTAGCTAACAACTATTTTGATCTTATTCGTGAAGTGTTCTCAACTAAAACCAATCTGACTGTTTGGTCAATTCATCTCATCGTAGTATGCAAATATTGCATTGCACGTAATCATAGGCCTGACTCAAAGCAGAAAAATAATCAACAGAAATATATCTGACAAATAGTTAGGAAGATTATTATAGTTATAAACAACTGAATTTATAACATAAGCTTGATCACAAGCTGGTGATTTTGAACTAACATTGATTTTTTTCCTTAAGATTCATGTGTAAATGAAAATGACGAGCTTGCATTTTTACAAGGTATTCTGCTCCCCGTTATATATAACCTTTCAATGAAATAATGTAAATATATAAAAATAATTTTTCATTGTCACTAAAAATGTTCTACTTATGCAGGGGTGTTGGAGTAATACAACAGAATTTGAAGATAAAGATCTTCAAATCCACTCATTCCTAATATTTACGCACTGAAAAATATAAGAAGAATGATCTGATTAACTTCTGGGGTGATTTTTGTCCCCAACTGTTGCTTTGTCAACAACACACAATGTAGGAATTGAATGGTTAGTTAGTTTAAAGAAGAGCACAAGCTTTGTCTCTTGATTAATAACGAAACAGATTGTATTGAGGTAAATAGAATGTTTTACTAATGATTTGAACAATTTCAAACTATTTACAAAACTGTAAATTATTCATATCTACAATTAACATTTTCTTCTATTTTAAATGTATTTTTATTTCAGGCTTACTTACATACTTGGGCTAAAACATTTCACCAGCAATTTTAATAAAATTAAGTGTTTTGAAAAGTTTGTTTACTAATGATGATTATTGCATATGTCTTTGATAATGCTTGATCAGCCTCAGAACTTTACATAGTAAAAGTAATATCAAATTCTATCAAAGCCCACATTCTACAATATGTCCATGCTTCAAAAATGCACTAAAATAGGTTTTTGTTGTATGTAACTCCCCATATGTTGGGGACTTGATAATGAAGATGTTGTGTTATGCCACTGGCAAAGATCTGTTTTCTAAATGTATGAACAAATCCCACACAGGTGCCGGAACCAGGGGTGGTGGGGCAGCTGCCCCTGCTGCCGAGTAGTGCAGGGCAGCACAGGGCAGAATGTTACCCTTTTACATTTTGAAAAATAGACGTATGTCTTATTTCCCGATATGTAAGTTCCCACTTACAAATTCTTCAATTTTATCTAATTTGAAGTCTTGTTAGCTGGTGTGTCTGTGGTTTAGTGGTAATTCAGCATTATTTTATAAAACATTTGACTTTTGCCTTTCACCATCAATATAAAATGCTACTTTAAAGTACAAGCTTAATAAAATTTGATGGGTAAGGTTGCATAATTGCATTAACAATAAAGGAAAGGAAAACTGATGTCGGGGAAATTTAATGCACGCTTTGACACTTTCATCGGTGTAAATTGGCAAACATTTTACACAAACGTAATGTAAAAATAGGTGCCCTTTCAAAATGGCCACCTCGCGGCTAATGGTTGCTTCCAGCCCTGATCCCACAATATCACTATTCAATATGAGAGCTGTTAAAATATACTCTGTATTAGAAGATGACAAGAAAACTGCATTCTCAACGAGACCGAGAAAATTACTCACCAAACAAATTACTGGATTACTTGAGTTGATATGTTGGTGTCAGCTTACTACCTGCGTTGGAGTGGCAATGAACCAACACATACAGCAACACAGTCTCGTGGTTGACTAATTGGTGGTGAATTATACCATTTATTAGACAAGGGATCATACCTTAATAGCAAAGTAAAGTGCAATAAATACTTTGAAATGTCATGGTCATCAAAATAAATCCTGTAAAAAGAATCAAACAATTGCTTTTAAAAGGTCCATCTTCACAAATATGTGCATTTCATAGTTATTTGGTAAAATCTAGGGGTATTTTGGTTTTTGGTACACTATAAAAATAATTAGAGTACAATCGGACAAAATTTATAGTGGGTGTCACCTCCCAATTATCAGATGCCCCCCCCTAATTATCAGATACCCCCCAAATCATCACACCTCTCCCATTTATCAGATACCACCCCCAAATTATCATTTGCCAGCCCCAATTATCAAACACCACCCCCAATTATCAGATACCACCCTCAATTATCAAACATCCCCCAATTATCAGATACCACCCCTAATTATCAGTGACACCCCTCAATTATTAGATACTACCCCCAATTATCAGATATTATCACCCCCAAAATAAATTGTTCGCCCTTCTAAGAAACATTTTAATCCCTCAATTTTTAGCAAAACAAATCAGCAAAGACAGTAATACAGTGGAACTGGGTTTCTCTAAGCAATGTTTCAACTTTGTACACTACATTTGCTAAACTGCCCTACATACTCTACTGCCCATAAATCCTTACTACCTTACTTTGTCATACATTAACTACCCTAAGATTTTCAGCGACACCCCATTAAAAAATACGAAAATACCCCATATATTTGAAAAAAATGAAAATTTTAGTATAATTAAAAAATACTGTCTAATTTCTATTACGATTCTTTTTATAAAAAATGTCATTTCTGGCCAAAAAATGTTTTGACTGTGGAGTAATTATCTTTAGGTTAAGGCAAGACTTGATAGATAAATCTTTGCCAGAGAGTAGAAAATTACACATTTTGTTGATTAGTTAGTAGTAGCTTTATAACACAAACCTTTCAACTGAGCTAAGATATGATGTTCCATCATAACCACCAACAGCATAGATAAAACCATTAAGAACAGCTACACCCAAACCGCTACGTGGTACGCTCATACTACAAACTTCGATCCATTCATCTTTAGTTGGATCATAACGCTCTACGGAGCTAAATCTTGTTGTGTGGTCACAACCACCAACTGCATAGACGTAACCACCTAAAGCTGCCACTCCAACTTGTTTTCTAGGTAAGAAACATCTTTTGATAATACATCAATAAAGTTATATGTTTGTAAATTATGATCGTCCAGGTTAATAATCCCAGGTTCAAACCATTTACTTTATTTACTTTACATCAATAAAGTAGTAATTTATTTAGTTGTAATGATATCCCATGTAAATAGTAAGCCAAAGAGATCGCAAAATAACACCCGGTCCACGGAACAACATTTGGCTAAGATGAGTATTTGCTCAGCCAAACGGCTTTTCTTGGTACCAAATTAATTTTCAAAACGAAAATCCAGGAAGTACAAGAAAAAATGGTTATGCCGGTAAATCGATGGGTAGCTAACTCTCACGCCGTAATTTCACACCCTGATGTGACATGGAATTATTTTGCAAGTTTTCAAATCATTAGATTTGACACACATAACTATCAGACTGTCAAAGCATGCCATTTTCCTACAGTTGTAAGTAACTGTTCTTTAGTACTTTGTCAATGTGCCTTACTTACTAGACATTTGTAACTTACGTAACCTGAATTTGAAACATTGAAAAACTTAATTTAGATAATAAATAATTCACTTTTTGCTGCTTTGATATGAGATTAGATGTTGTGAGTCAAACCATGAAATTAGTTCAAAAATTTATGAACAAAATAAAAAAGTGCACTAAAAAATGCATCCTTAGCAAAATGTCTTTAATACGAAGTGAGGTCTGGAATTATTTCGAAAAGAATGCTTCCGAAAAGTTAACATGATGCAAACTAAAGTCAGCACGACATTCTCCACAAAAACATTAAAATTTGTTCTTAGACAAAAATAAAGTCACCCCTCCTCCCTTTAGTACTAGTATTTAGTGTACTATTGATTTTCAAATATGCTGTATTGGATGAGCTAGAAATGAGCTATAGGCTTTCTAGCGAATAGAAAACATACAAAAAGTATTACGCAATAAGTAGCAATTTGAGTAATCGTTACTACAATACTTTGTGCGTAAAGTAGCTCGTATCGTAATCGAATCAATATTCTTGGTATCGCCCATCAATAAGCAGTACTAGCCATTGGTATAAGCTTACCTTGCAGTTACCATTGGAGCCAGTAATTTCCAAGCGCCAGAGTCAGCGTCATATCTTTCGACAGTTCGCAGGTTTGTTCCATCTGATCCCCCAACAGCATATACATCACCATCCATGACGCAGCATCCTACACCAAACCTCGATTGGTTCATTGAAGCCATCTTCATCCATTTTGGTAAACGACATCGGGTGTCATAATATTCAACCGTATTTAATGGCATAGAGCCATCAAAGCCACCTAAATTGTCGAAAAATAACCATGTAAATTAATTGTACAGATATATTACAATAAGTAGGAGATAGGGTTAGAGATAGACCTAAGGATAGGATTGGGATAGAGTTCTGTAAAGAGTCTATAAAAAATATTGTTACTTGTATTATAACTGAATATAATGGGTCTTCCTAAAACTATTTGACCAAGCATGCTTAACTAACTTAAGATACAATTCATTTATTTTTGAAGCATTTAAATGGTTTTCACTGCAAAACGAATTTTCTACAATCATTGAATTACAATTATGATTTGAATTTCATTCGTTGAATACCAACACATGTTTGCTTGACATGCAACAAAGTTATTTTTCGTTTGAGGTTTACGTATATGTACATCTATCAAGCGACACTGTTGAAAACAGCCCTTCAAGAGAGCAGCTATATAGTGCAAACTTCAAATTTAATTTTTACATCAACTAACTACAATAACTTACCTATAGCATAAACTTTACCATCAGCACCACACACACCAACTCCATTTCGGCTTGAGAGCATGGGTTCAGATTGCACCCAAACGTCATTGTACGGATCGTACCTTTCAACTGTATCCAACCGTGACGAGTCATCGCTACCACCGCAAATATAGAGATAAGGTCCTACTGAACCCATACTTGCTCCCCAGCGACAGATACTCATGGAGCCTACAGTAAGGACAAATACGATTAAAACGTCATAAAAAGGGAACTTTTTGCCTTACAGAAGTGAGGGATTCGGCCTTCGGGGCCGTGCAAATGTTGTGTAAAACGCATTCCCAACTACAGCTTACAACTTCACGTACATTCACAGCCGTTCACATCGTTATTTATGTGTACATATGTATTACACCATGAATAGCGCAATAAATCAACTAGTATACGTATTAAAACTTGTTAAAAACAACTAATATCTCAAGCAGATTTACTGTGAAAGCTAAAAAAGTATGATTACAGGTTGCCATGAAATTCACGAATGCTTACAAATTGGTGTCCATTTTCCTTCTTTAGGATCAAATTTTTCACCACTTTTACTAGCTTCTCTTCTACTCATTCCTCCAACAGAATACAAGACTTGATGATCTGATGTTGGTCGACGTTGTTTTGAAACAGGAGTCTTATTCGTTACGTTGCGTAGGCCAGTCAATAGATAAGATCTAAAAATATTAAATATCAATAATTGACGTCGTAGGTCTTTTGACAAGTTCATATTGAGCAAATAGGCTGTTAAATCTTCTTGCTCAAATAATCTTACATGCATGATCTGTCAGAAACAATAACTTCCTCTTTCCAACTCTATCGAAGAGAAATTCTGCCGATAAAAGATCAAATCTCACTTCTTTCATTACATCTTTTGCATGGTCCTATCAAGGAAAAATGTTATGTAAAAAGATTAGAGAAAAAAATTTGTAAATAAGAGTTTGAAAGACAGAAAAAAGTTTTTCAAACTTTTAATAAACTAGTGAAATAATCTCGACCCACACCATGGAAACTTACCTGACGATTATCGGGATCAAATTTTATCCAAGCTAGGACAGCTTCAAAAACACGTTCCTCACACTGCACATTTAAATTATCATCAGAAATCAATCTTGATAGCTGGCGTTGAGTTAAATGCATAAACTCTTCATTTTGTAAAACATCTATAAAATTTCTTTTGGCAAATTTTTCAGCTTCACGAAGAAGACCAGAACATGCATGTTGGTCAGCAAAGTTTGCAATACCTAAAACATGTGTAAAAACATATACATGTAAGCATTCTCTCGACCACAGCTTCCATCACCAAAATATACGGAAAGAAAAAAAAGATAATTCAGTAATATTGCGGTAGCATGAAGATGTTGCTAATAATCAAAGATCAGATTGTCAAAATGGCATTCTTTATACATACCATTTGCATATCAAATAAACAAAAAAACTATTTGATCTTGCCTAATGGTAATAAATGACTGTGAAGATGACTACTGCTAAGGTAGTTAAAATGTCATTCAACACCACAGTTGTTCTCAGGACTCTACTAACCTCAATGTTCTACATATAAAAACATGTAAATATATCATTCATCATTAAAGACTTACCCAAGCAATTGTCATCACTTAAATTTTAAAGAATTCACAACAGCCATCAAGCACACTGGAGACTTGAAGCAAGCTTGCAGCAGACAAAAGATTCTGTACATTTTCTTTGTTGATTTTTATTTCAGATGTATAAAAGAATTGAATTATTTGCACAAGACTATTGCCATCTATCTGATGCATGGTAATGCAATTTTTGTTGCATTCCGATAGTCCACCTGAAAAAGTTTTAAAGACATCAAGCTTTTTTACATTTCATAACATAATTGACCAGATTTACTTCAACTGTGTACTTTGTGCTTCATGATAAAATTTATCAGTGAAGAAGTATTAATTGAATCTAGGACACTAGTTTATATGGTATAGTTCACTGTCAAATATAACATTTAAACAACCAATTGGTTTGACTTGCACACCTGTAAACATGGCTTTAAAATAGGGACTTGCCGCTGAAAGTATTATTTTATGAGCTTTGATGGTTTTGTCATTCACAAGAAGTGTTATATCACAGAGTTCATCATTTTCTCTTAAGCCATGAAACATTTTTCCAAGTTCTTTGAAATGGGCAACATCGGTATAATTGATACTTTCCACAGAAATGGGCATTGGCCTGTCTAACTTGGGAGAATATGAACGCGACATTTCTCTACGAAATCAAATAGGAGAGACATGAGTAAAACAAATGCTAAACTATAATTGATACTATTATCATTTGCCGTTGTCAATTGTGACGTACAGCCATTTTGACGTTTCACACCTAGGTGAAAACATTCACATAACAACAATTTAAGTAATTTTCAATGAAATACGAACAGTTTTTGTGTTCGCTTAACATAATAGAGGAGATCAATTGTCTTTTAACTCAATTTGATTTAATGTAAATAAAACTAGTTACAGAATTATTCGAAATTTTCCATTCAAATTTTTTGAAGAATGCACAATTTTTGAAAGAAAAGCAGCCACAGACGTACAAAATGGTATAGACAAATTTCTTTTCAATATTATTTTAAAAGTATATTAATCGAGAAGAAGAAACCAATGTCATCATTGTCAAAATCAAAATGTCCATTGACCTATGATCACATTGACGATTATCGCAAATTTTGAAGTTCGTTTACTCTAAACAACTGTGAAAAAGTTTGCTTTAAAGACAATATATATCAGTATGAAATCTTGAAAGACCTAAAATATTATTGTTACTTCAATGATCATAAGATCAAATCACCCAAAACAAACGACGATTTCGATGAGTCGACGACGATTACAAACTAAACAAAACTTAAAAACGCGTAAAAGAAAAAATGTTACATACCTTTCTACAAACCAAGCTCTTCGCTGGTTTTTTGGCTATCCAATAATCAATGAAAAAAGAAAATTATCTTTTGGGCGACCAACGTTTAGATAATTTCTCAGTACACAAGATGAACGCCGGAAACTCAATTGTTCGCCAGCAGGCCAGTTTAATCTTGTCTTTCAATTGAAATATATATCGCATCGGAGAATATGCCAATCAAGTTTTTACCCAAATACCACACTCAGTTCTGAATTGAAAAAAAATTTTGATTACTAACAAAAACACATTCCAAATCAAACAATCAACGTTTGAATCAATGAATCAAAACAAATAAATTTTATATAAGCACCAATGTAACCACTCCTTCAATTGTCTCTTAAAGAGACATAAATAATAAATATATCCGCTGTTTTTTACAACTAGTTACGCAAAGAGGTCTCTCAATTAAACTAAAGTTTTTATACATTTTAAATGAAATAAAGATAAAGTTGTTATATAAATGCAATAAAGATAACCACCAATTCAACCAAACTAAACAGTCAACAAGCATTTATGCCAAGGAGGCACCCCACAAAATCTCCCAAATTATTGTCTTTCTGTATTGAGAATACAAATGTTAACATCAAATAGTGCGTGCATAACATGTGGCTTTTTGGGAGGGATTTGCACCCAAATAAAGTCCTGCTACGGTTCCAAACAACGTACGAAATACTACCACTAGTGATGTAACTTTAATACATGCATTCCACTAATCAACATTGAATGATAAATGGATAGCTTAGTAAAAAGGATAATTTTAAAGCACAAAACGTGGACCATTTTAATTTTCCATTAAAACGAGACACATGCGTTCTTGAAACTATTTGCACTCGGAGCGCAGCAGGCAAAACCTTACTAGCAACCAAGTATAATTTTTAACTACCTTTTATCACTACTGAATGGACTACATACGTATCTACATGTTAGCAAGGGCAACTTTAGGTATTGGCTAGCTACGTATTCATCATCTGTCTTACTCTACTCCACCTTTCAACTCATAATGGAACTACTCAAAGAGCACACTTTATCAACAGAAAAGACTCATGACTGCATTAACTAAAGCACGCTAGTCATGACATTCACAGTCAAATCGCCAACTTTACAAACGAGAAACAAGAAACTTGATAAAATCAGCCAAACGAAAATGCGTCAACACAAAATCATCAAAATTCCTAACACTAAATATGACATAGATCAAAATGTAGTTGCATGTAAACCAAATAACTCCTGCAAGCAGTTAATAATATATAATTACGTTTCATTGAAAAACTTTCATTGCAGTCAGAATTGCGTTTGGTTAATAAATTACTTTTAAAGTAAAAATTAAAATAACGACTTTATCTTCTCTGAGTTTTTCCACCTTTTCGTTTTCCAGCGAACATATGTTTGGGCTTTTTGCTTCCAATATGACGGTCGGACTCACCTTAAAATAAGCATACATCAACATTCTAATAATGTACGTATTAAAGACTACAGGAAAATCGCCATGAAATCAACGTATGAAAATATACTCACCAGCTTTGCCCATTCTGTTCATATTTCTTTGAGATGTTTTCATCATTTTCTTCGCTTTTTTCTTTTTCTAAGAAAAAAAAACACACACAAAATTTGTCAATTCACAAAAAATAACGAGAGAGTAGTACATTGGACTTGTTATACATACCTCAGGGTTAACAATACCAGATTGATCTCTAGGTTGTTTTGATTTGCTACGTGCAATGCTAAGCGTATCTTCTCGTTTTCTTTTACGGCTAGCTGGAGTACGTGATCTCGCTGTTCGTCCTTCACCAGTTTCCTTTGATTAATCAAAAATAATACTTAATTTAACCAATGTCAATACAGATCCTATTACATAAATAATTTCTATTATGATTAGAGAGGAGAAGGGTTAAGAAAAAAAAATACGCCTTAACACAAGTACCATAGATTCATCTTGTTCGCTATCCCATTCCATATAATCAGACGCCAAACTTTGTCTTCTCGCTCTTGTGGAAAGCGACTAGATTATGACAAAAATCTAATTCAACAAAATGATACGACAAGTCACATTGTCCCCTCTAAATTAACGTACAAACAGTTGGTCAGTCTGTAAGAACATTTGACAAGAAACTCGAAACATGTAAGACAAAGTTAACGGCTAAATTACTGTTATCCGTTCACCACACGAAACGTGTCTGAAAAGCAAACCTTAGCCCGTAGATTTTGAGGAAGCTTTGCATGGTTAGATGTCTTTTTAAGACGATGTTCTTGAACAATCAGTTTCTTTTTCTTTCGAATTCTGCAAAAGACAAAACATAAGAATTCAAACGAGATAGTTTTTGCTTCAAAAGAAAACGATACACAATTTGTTAAAATATAGCTATAAATTATCTCGAGCCTACTTTCTGTTAATATAATCGATGAAAATCTTACTCGGCCGCTTGCTTTTTGATTTCTTTTGTTTCTTCGTCATCTTCTTCCTGCCAAAAAAGAAATTGTTTGATTTAGCATATACGTAGACGTAAAAACAGCTGGACAATTAGGAAAACAATTTTAATCTTTGAAATAAAACAAAGTTTACGGACAAATATATTACCATGTCGCTATTGTATTCACCAGCAGCTTCACGAAGTTCTTCTTCTCGTTCAAGTTCTTCAAGTTTCTATAAAAAATAGATAAAAAAATTACATAGTAAACAGCAAATAAATCAACAATGGAAATTTGATAATAGACATGAGACGTTCAGCAAACTGCATCAAGTCGTCACAAAACAAAAACATATATTTGAATATTGTGAGTAAATAAAATAATATCAATGAAAGCAAATCGCCAAACTATTAATACTAAATTACACACTAAGCACATCTATATAATATCTGGAGTGATCAAATCGCCAACATTCATCAATATAATCTGCCTCAAATCACAGAACGCAACACACCTTCATAATATCCGGATCAATAAAATCGGAAATATTTTTTCCAAGATAAATTTCTGGAACTAAATCAGTCTTCTCATCCTCATTTTCTAAGATCCAATGTTCTTGTAAATTCATCTCATAATCATCACCCAGTTCTTGTTCGAGTTCCTTCGCCAATTTCTTCTTTGGACCAACATCTGTTTCCATTTCTTTCTTACGGTTCAATACCGCCTCAGGTATACAAGGAGGTCGCTCTTTAACGTCACGTTGAGTTGGCAAAGCAACATGAATACGATTGAGAATACCATCAGCTTTTTTACTTTTGATTTTTGCTTCGATACGCAAAGCAAGAAGTTGTTCGCATGCCTCTGTTTTGAGATCCATTATTCCCTCTTCTGTAACTGTACTCGTGCACACGGTTGGAATGCCTAAAAAAATGAACAATGGAGTAACAGGAATTCTATTTTGTAGCTTGTGTGTTACTTAAGTGGTTCAAAACACACTCAAACTTAAAAGGAATGACGTTGTGCAACAATGTTGGTTTGAATGAAACGATTACAGCGCTTTTTTATGAAATGCATGTAAAAAACTGTTTCATAATTTCGAAATTGCACGATTAAAATGATGCATTTAACGTAGACGACAACTTTTTTTAAATTTACTTTATATTAACTCGATTCAAATATTCATTCATTATACCGCAGTGAAGATGGCATAAGTTTGCCGAAACATGTTTGCAATAAAAAATTGAAAAAAAAGTTGTCGTTTACGGTAAAAAACTGTTTATTGAAAAATAAATATTCTAATGCCAATTGGAAAGTTACCTTCAGTCTTGAAATAAGCCAAGCGTTCTTTGTTTTCGTCAGACAATTCATCAGGACGGATAATGTCAGTTTTATTCATCACAGCAATTATTGGTTTGTTCACAAACAAAGGTTTGATATTTGTAAATAAATCAATTTGTTCTTCGATGGTATGACCACATTGTTCAGATAGATCCATAAAGTAAAGAACTGCAGCTCGTATATGTGCCAGGGCTGTTATAGCCTGAATAAATACATAAAAATTCAAGAGGATATTTTCACAACTGTAGTCCATTCACAGCATCATGGGTAATTAAACCAACACATCATCTACTTATGTTGCATTCATTGATCAAATAAATGAACTCTTCTTGCAATCACCTGCATTTCAATGGTGTTACGATCTTCAAGAGAATGATCTAAGATTCCAGGAGTATCAACAACCTACAAGTAATTTGGATTTCCATTTTAAAATCATTAGCTTGCAAAAAACAGCAAATATTATTAATTGCGTCAATGTTACCTGCCACCTCAAGTATTTATAGTCAGTATGACCCACAAATAATGACTTTGTTGTAAAGGCATATGGCTGAACTTCAACATCTGCTCGAGTTATCTAAAAGTTTAAAAACTGTTTTTATTGTGTGGCCCTCAAACTTTATCATTCTACAAAAAATTGCACTGAAACTTGCAAGTCCTGAAACATTGCATGTCTACCTTGTTTATAAAACTTGATTTACCAACATTTGGGAAACTGCAAAGAGTAACAAAAATTTCAATATGACATAAATATTTTTAACCAGTCAGTTCTGACTTTTCTTAGCCATATTTGGCAACCTTGGTAACTCATTATTCAAATCTGAGGAGTTTCAAATTACCATAATGACAATAACCTACCCGCAAATTAACAATGTTCTTGTATTTGGATCAATACTTGGTAATCTAGACAAATGCTGACGAACTGAAAACAAATTTTAAATTTAGCTGAGTAAATGTGTATTTGCAATATGACAATGGTTCATTGCCTCAACCTTGTTCTAGATACTCCAAACTTTGCTTTTGTTTCTTCATGATAGTACACATTCTGAAAGGTAAACAAAATAAATAAATTGTATAATAAATCACACAATATTTAATGTTTATTTTGAACAATTACTGTTTAAATGATATTTGCTAATTCTTCATACCTTCCTAGTGCTGCACGCTTAAGTTGTTTACAGCGGTACAATGAATCACCATATTTCATTAATCGAATGTAATCTTTTGCAACACTAAATAAATTTTGACATGAATTGCATGAATGAATTTCTCACAATGTAAGAAAAATATTAGCTGTAAAAGAATGCCACCTAGTTACTAAATACGCATCTAAACTTGCTTACTTGTCAATCAGATGCCTAGCAGTATTGATTTGTCCAAGAGCTAATTTGTAATGATCTTTATCATATAAAACATTCATTAAATCAGCATAGAATGGGTGAACATCCTAAAAAAAAGTAAACATCAAGTATTTAACCATACATGGTTATGGATGAACAATGATTCTGCTATAGAATAAATCCACCATGGTATATGTGTTTTATTTTCTTTTTGCTTATATTTGTTTTTATGAAGCGAATACATATAAATGACTGTACTTGAAGTCTTGGAAAATCCGTTATAATCTGTGTCAATTTGTCATGATAATTTTGCTGAGTGAACTTGATCTTTCTCATATAAAACTGTCGAATACGACCAATTTTATAGTGTCTAAAATGAGAAACAAATTGCAAAAGCGCAATTATCAAACACGCATCATACACATGTATATTACTTTGTTTATAAATGAAGCATATTCACTTATAGTTCACTAAGGAGAAATAGCCCAGTCCTCTCTCTCTCTCTCTCTTAGTTATCAACTTTCCCTCTCTGGGATTACCATAGCAAATTGTACAGCTCAGTTCAAATGAACAATTTTTAGTTGGTCATTTTGAACGTAAGGGATTATTTTTTATACAGGCAACTCTTAAAGTGCAAATGTAGTTTTTAAAGGCCTGTCTAACCCTTTACTTGGCAAATTTTCTGAAAAGTTTGCGCACATTTCATTTGGTAAATGGTAATTGCTGTCATATGGCAACACTGTAAAGTGAAGGGTTAAATAATCCAAGATGATCAGGAGTTAATAAAATCCTTCAACTTGTCCTGACCAAACCAGATATTGAACATTATTCTATCACCAAGATAAAAAGTGATCAAATGTCCCTTTGCCAAGGCAGGCAACACTTTATGCACATCAAGTCAAATTAGACAATGGCTAGACTGCAGTATAGCGGACATCCAAAGCAATTATAAGCAAAGAGTGGGCTCGTTTTTGCTTAGGATTATAGAGTTAAGGTTTGGGTCAGTGCCGAAGGTGTCCGCTAAACTTCAGTAGTCCCAAGACAGTTCTTCCTTCATCCCAGGCTTCCAGTCGTGTTTTTGTCAAGATAAATTTGTAAACATGTTTGATGTTCCCCATCTGCACGAGATCTACGACTATATTGCCCGACAACGAATATTACAAAATATGCTTCTACTTTATCACAGTCTAAAAAGTTTCATCAATTTAAAATCATATCAAAAAGACAAACCTATGAATTACAGTCGGTGTTTTCCTCTGTGTTTTTGATAAAACAATATCGATAAAATCCTAAAACAAACATAGTCGAACAATCTATCAAAACGCAGTTAAAAAAATGTTCAAAAAAATTAAACAGCTGTTGCTTACCTTAGCCGTCGGAACGACAGTAATTTTCTTAAAATTATACAGCGACATTTCTATAAATTCTTATTATGAAGTTAGTCAGTTTACCATTACTTACACCACGTGCTCATCTCAGTCACTGCGCGAAATTCGCGTGATCATCACGCATGAAAACCTGCAAAAAGTGAAATCCAGATCCATGGTTTCCAAGCTGAAATAACATTATCATCGAAAAATTTCCATTAAACGTTGCCTCTTGTTTTGTGGCTATTCTGTGCAAAAAGGATAATATAAAATATTAAGCAATTGCAAATATTAATTTATTTGCTACTTGCCACATTCTAAACAGTGAGTGTTACAACTGTGTGGTGACGTTTTTAGAAACCATACGTATCTTACAACACTCTCATGATAAGATCGTTTCTAGCAAAGATATATAAGACTGTTTTTCCTGTACGACTAGTTGAACCAAAATATTTGCAGCTAAAAATATAATTTACTCAAGGGTAACTTGTGTGGCGTTCAAGAAGACGCCTTTCAGATATACGACAATTTTTAAACCAATAATCCATATATAAAGTAAATGGTTTGAACCCGGGAGTATCGTTACATGTTTGTAAATGTAGATCGTCCAGGTTGGTATAGTCCTGAGAGGGAATGTTTTTGTTGATGTTGACTGACGTTTCAACAACCTTAGCGGTAGTCATCTTCAGAGTCAAAATGTATATGTATTTGTTTACAAACAATCCATATATAATTGCTCTACATGTATGATTTTGTCATATAAACTTTGCACAATTATTGCTGAATCAATTTCAAGCGTTCAAGATGTTGAGAATTTTACGTACCCATTTACAGTCAGCATGTTACAAAAAAGGTGTCAATTCTTTAAGGTGTCAAAGATTTATTTCCAAGAACCGATGATAAGTAAAGTTAGCACCAACAGCAATGGAAAAATATTTTCAACTACAGCAAGTGCAGTCTAACGCAGAATGCAACAAACTGAAAACAAGCTAGTCATGAATGAAAAATCATCAATGTCAATTTAAATCAAAATACCTATACAGACACGCTGTATAAAACAACGTGCAAAAACAATTCTATATCTTCACTACAAAACTCAAATTACGAAATCACAATGTCCTTGGTATGCAGTTATATCGGTTTTCAAACAGCCAATGACTATCAATGAACTATCCAGTACGATTTTCAAACAGTCAAAGAATGGTCAATGTACTATCGAGTAAGATTTTTAAACAGCCAATGAATGTCAATGAACAATCGAGTAAGATTTTTAAACAACCAATGAATGTCAATGAACAATCGAGTAAGATTTTTAAACAACCAATGAATGTCAATGAACAATCGAGTAAGATTTTTAAACAACCAATGAATGTCAATGAACAATCGAGTAAGATTTTTAAACAACCAATGAATGTCAATGAACAATCGAGTAAGATTTAGAGACAGCCAATGACGATCAATGATTTATTGAGTTTTACTTAAAGATCTTTTATTGTATGTTCAAAAGTTTGTTCACTAAATAAACTTCGTGGAATAAACATGAAGTAAAATTTACAGGACTCGTCAGCCAAATTTCTTGTTTATTTTAAAACACCAAGTGATTTATTTAATTACAACACGCTCTTCTTTTTTATAAACTTGTAACGAAAATACAAAAGTTTAAAAGTTCCAAGAGCTGACATCGAGTTTATCCAAACTTTCGGTCACAGAGCAAACGTTTGCAGTTTTTATCTCTTCTAAAAGTATGAAGTAATAATCTTTCAAACTAACGTCTTAGCCAATCAGATGCTTCGCCATGCAACAAGTCAATACGAATAAAAGTATAAAATCAGTATTCAGTGCTTACCATTGGAAATAGCAACATTTTCAAAAGTTTGAGGACGCACAGGAAGTAACAGTTCAGGTAAACTTCGTTTGATTTTCTTTTTAGCCTAAGCCATCGAAAAGACAAAAAGTTATTTATATAATTTACAAATACCTTGGCCTACAAGACTATGACAATGAACTAAATTCGAATGAAAAATGAGCATAAAAAATTTGTGATTTGACCAGCGCTGTAGAACTAAATTTATCAGACGGGGGGCTCTCTTGACGAAGCTGAAGCCATGAAATTATGAAAAATTACCCATTTCAAAGGTAGAAGGGGGGCTCCTCCCTCAAGCTCCCACCCCCCACTTCTACAGCACTGGATTTGACTCATATCGATAGTAGCTATATCGGTAAAATAAAAGCACTTATAAAAATCAATCAGAGGTGGAAAATGAATCGGAAAACCTATTCAGTTAAAAATAAAAATTATAATTGGTAATTTTAGATACACATCATAGGTGTCAGAATTAAAGAGAAACTGAAATGAATTTCTTAATAAGCAGCAGAAAATTCTTTGCTTTTCTTGGTGGTCGTACAACGAAAAATATCTTTTTTTCAGCTCTGTTATCAATGTGTGGAATAACATTATCATAGAATTGTGTATGTGCTATTGCTGTTGTGTCTCCGTTTGGTTTGGGGAGGAAAGAGGTTAGAACGATAAAAGCCCTTGGCATTTACACAAAAACCAGCGAAATGATGATAAAGTTCGTTTTGCTGGGTTATCTTTTATTACACATAGGCGAGCTAAAAATTCTAGTAAAAAACAAAGTTCTCACAACGTATGTATTTCTCATAACGTATGTATAACGTATGTATTGTTGTTCAAGGAAAACTAAACTAGCATGGTTCGAGAATTAGTAAATCAGTTTAAAACTCACTTGTTTGAGGAATGCATGATTGAGCAACATACGTGCCGATGGTCTAAAATGAACATATTTTGAAACTCGTTGTGAAATGATATGATACTGCTATGTCCCCAATCCAAAGAATGAAAATTGAAAAACAAATTCAATAGTTTATTGAGAAATAAAAACTTACCGATTCTTAGGTTCTTTTTGCAAGCAACAGTCAACAAACTGTAATGAAATGAACATTAAGTATTTGCAAAGAAATTTAGTATGAATAAAACAGTTTACCTCACTAAACAACATTGAGAACTTCTTATTTTCAACGCTTTCGCGACGTCCTTGACGCGTCACGCCAAAACTATCACCTACACCTGAATCAGATGCACCACATGTCCTTGAAAGACGCGAATCGTTCAAATTTTGAAGATTTACATCGTTTTCTTGTAGCTTGGCCAGCAAAACCTGTAAATGAAAATTTAAAACGGGAAAAAGAACACAAAGAAATATGTAATCAATCAGGATAGAAATAAAAAGGAGGTTAAATGAAAACAGTAAGGGACAATCACCATGAAAAATGAATACTTAATTGTAGATGAAAAAATAAGGGTAAAAATACGCAGTAAGTAAGTGTTTGTAACCTGAGTTGCAGAAACATTCTTGTGAGGTTCAATACCACAAGCCATTTCAACAGCTGTTATCCCAAGACTGTATATATCCGAACGATAATCATAACCAAGAATGTTCTGATGAAATAAAAATGCAGTTTATTGAAATCATATAGCTGTGTACCATGTCAATAATATCACTGCTGTAATAAGTAACAAGTAATGAGTAATTTTATATAAGGTTTTTTGACGAAATTTACCGTTGCATTAGTAATAAGGGGGAATTAAACGCAACACAAGATTGCAATGCATTTTCTTTAAACAAACTTTGAGCTAAAACAGAACAGACTTCTATAACAAATGATACAATTATACACCTGCTCTAAAACTTCAGGTGCTAGCCAAGGTACAGATGCAACAGCATCCTCAGGAAAGTCATACACATGATTGTAACCATTTGGTGAAAGACAATGAGATTCACGAAGACCAGTAAGACAAACTGTACCATTTCCATCAATAAGTATATGATGTGCTTTTACAGCACTATGTGGAAAAGAAAAGTGGCATTATTGCTGTAGAATACAACTGTCATATCACCATAAAAAAATGTACTGTAATGAGCATATACCGATGAACATAGCCCATTCTATGGATGTTATCCAGAGCTTTGAGTACTTCACGTAATATGAGTAAAATAGCTGCCTCGGGAAGGCCTAGCGGAAATCCTTCTTTTATTATTTTGTCACAGGAGCCTATACATTTAAAGATTGTGGTACATATTAGTTATGAACAATACAAATTATACCATGGCTTTCATTGAGAGGTAATTTTCAGATTATTTTGAAGCTATTTTCTGCTTTTGATCAATTAACCAAATAGCAAGTTCACTTCTAGTCAATATGCTAATGTTCAGACACTTTTGACAAATGCAATTGGTCAATACAAAAGCATGTAGCAATTTTTGTTCATAATAATAAGCTGTTGCTCACCATATTCCATATATGGACTAATAGTCCATAATTCTTTACAAACGAATGCTGCTAGCATTGCAACAATGTTAGGGTGAGCCAAGATTCTTGAAAGATAAACTTCATGCTATTTAATAGAAAATTGAGATGTATGTAGTTATCTTGCTTTGTGTGTGTAAAATAATTCTAATTTTAGCTGATTATTTGATTTTGCAAAAGTTAAAAGTACAAAAGTTGTTAAACTCACACTGATCAGGTCGATTTTCTTGGTGTCAGAAACATCAAGTTTTGTTTTCTTAATCACAATATTCTTCTTTACACCATTATAATGTGCGAGCCATATTGAAGTTAAATCACCAAATCCTGATCCTGAATGATGTAAATCAAATCAACAATTCAGGGAGATTTTATATGAGACTATTAGAGCAAAGGACAAAACAATTCACTGTGATTTTTTTTGGGTGGGGGGACCACAACACAATACATTGTTATCATGGGAGGGGGGACAAAAACATTTCATAGTAGAATACTTGGCAAGTAATCAATAAACTTGTGGGTACAACAAACTTAGATAAAACTAATCTTAAAGTAAATGGTTTGAACCCGGGAGTATCGTTACATGTTTGTAAATGTCGATCGTCCAGGTTGGTATAGTCCTGAGAAGGACTGTTTTTGGAATAGTCCTTCTCAGGACTATACCAACCTGGACGATCGACATCTACAAACATGTAAAACTAATCTTACATTTCCAGAATGCCTTATCAAACCGACTGGTAAAAGTTTTAGGAAAACCACAAAAGGAACACAGTTTTATTTAGTAAGCTATATCTGATGTTTCAATAAAACGCACTCTCTACACAAGTGCAATGTGTACCTAAACAGAGATCTTTAAAGTCTTAAACTCCAATGCTACAACATAATGAAAAAGCTAAACTATGACACAGGTCGTGTGTAACAAGTGAAATACTGTACTAACCTATCTGTTTAAAACAAATATAATCTTTGGATCGAAACTTAGACTAATTGACATCAAATTTGGAGCAGCATTTGATGTCTTTACAGGTATTGACATATTTTATTAGACCCGTCCGGTGTCCTGTGTCCAGGCTGTCCTTTCTACACAGCTACTCCTCGCTCAACGCTTGCATTGTATAAACAAGCTCAAAGCTTAACGCTGACACTGAATTCCAATTACATCTTATCTGTCAATTGAATGAAGAGAAGTACTTTTCGTATGATACTGTTAAGTTAGTGATGATCATCTCCCCCGGAAATAATTTATTTTGATCCTGACCCTCCTGACGTATTCTTAGTTTGTTGGCAATCGAAAACGGCGACAAAAAACATCATCCAATTCCAAACTGTATTATTAGCCACTGGTATCAGGCTATCAGCTGATTAGTAAAGTTATTTTTCGACATTTTTTGACCTTTAAAATGCAATTATAAAATTGCACATCTGGCGCTAGATGTGGTCATGAAGAGTAAGACCAAGGGCGAAGGTTCCTATAATTTGGTGGCGGGGGAGAAACGGAAGGACTCTTTCAGAGCATTTATAATGAAAAAGCTACAGTAGTAGGAGAAACTATTATAAAAATAATAAATAATAATATTGTTATCATATCATTCAGCCACGACCACCCAATATTAAAATTAGCCATCCAGGTATGCAAAGAATCAAACACATCAATTTTCTGGGTAGTCTTGTATAATTCTTTTCACAAACTTCAACATTGAAATTGACAAAACTCTCTTTTTCATGTCTGAACAAGCAGGACTTCATCCTTTTGCAAAAGAATATTTTTTGTTAATTTAAAGCAGTGTTAGCGACAAGTCTTTGTAAGAGGGAGGGGAGGATAACAAAACCTGGAAAAGAGATCATATTTATACATTTGTTTTCAATTATATAAATTAAGACTATAACCATGAAATTATTACTGGAAGGGTGGAAGGGGTTATTACCAGCGTCACTGTTTTAAAGTAAGCGGTTATGTTTTGATTTCACGTAAGTAAAAAAATTCCATTTTACCTCAATAAGCAATAAAAGCTATACACATATTAATGATCAGTAATGTGGTGATCGCTAGATTAAATTATTTTCATTAAATGCAAAGTATTGTGACGAAGTAATAAAATATTACTGTGGTAAATAAATTAAGATATTTTGCGTCATGTTCATTAAAAATTGCGTAAAGATTCAGCATTGTTTAGCATCATCTTCACGATCATTTTCTTGACTATTTTTACTTTGTTCAGTATCATTATCATCTTTCGTCTCAACTTCCTGTGTACTATCTTCAGTTTTACATGTTTCGGTACTCTTTTCTTCGTCTTCATCACTTTCCAAATCAACATCATCGTCTTCCTCAACAAGTAAAGCTGAAAATTTACTTTTCTCAGCCCAAACCTAAAAACAAAATTGTAGAATAAAAAAACAATTACAAAAAAAAAAATGATGACCAGATAGAATGAAAAGAAAGCTCTTTCCACCTTAACTTCTGGCTCCTCAAATTTCTTTGGTTCCACAATCTTCGGCTCACGTTTACTTCCTTTCCCCGGGCTCTTACCACGTCCTTTCCCGCGATCAGGTTTCAAGCCATCACGTGATACTTCGTTATCGCCGCTGCGATCACTGCCCTTCTATATTTCACCACAAATGACAGCTAAATATCCTCACGTTACTCTTTTATGAAAAGTTAAAGGTCTCGACTACACAAATAACAATCTTTATGAAAATTGCTACAACAAACTAAAATCTCTTAAAATCGTATGACTTGGGATACAATTGTCATTGCGTTCCTAAAAATTCGTGAGATGATATCAAACCATACAACACAAACACATATTATCATCTAAACTTCTTACCTTTTCCCATCTTCACTGCTGTTAGACTTGAATCGACGTCGATCACCATCAAAACACTGCGAGATTCTTTTCAGAATTCAGTTTCTCCAAACGAGCAGCTATCTCCTTTTCTTTGTTGCAGTATCAACGGGTTTTGCACCTCCAAATATAGCAGACGATGTTGAAGTCTCATTACCAGTTGAAACATCATCATTCTTTGGCTTTGTTCGAGGTTGTAGTTGTAAGCGTCGACGCTCAGTAGCTACAAGTATGGAATACACACCATAGATTACAACACATAAAATGTTTACAACTTGGGCGAACTTTAGTTTGTGCGTTCACATAACAACCTACGTAAGTTGACCGAATACAAAATTTACAAAAATTGTTGAAGTGAAAACAAAGAAATTAAATTGCTTAAACAACAACACATAAAAGACAAATGTATGAGAGACAACAAGTTTAAAAGTTGGAAAATATCCTGCAGCTCTCTTTTCAAAAAAATTAGTAAATTTCTTGCAAGAAATGTTTCTGTATAAAAGCAGGAAATTTTTCGAAAATAGAGTGGATTTAGTAGATTTAGAATGCTAGCGTATGAAAATATAAAGTAAATCACATTGCCTTATGTTTTATGTGCAGTTTTTTGAAGTGACAGCTGAGGGTAAATTATGTTGATTTAGAACTTACGTGCTCGTTTTTCATCTTTGGGTTCATCACCACTTCTTTTATCGTCTGGTCTACAGAAACATGAAACTTAAATTTAGGGAGTTTTCCTGTTTCTTCCACAATCTTGATACCAGTAGAGTTACACTCAGTATGGCAATACATGCATTATTTTTTACTAGATTTAGAATGACGAGCTTAGACTATCCCCACTTTCTTTATATATAGTTGCAAAGTTCACAACCTGGGAGGGAGTGTTTAAGCTCATCCGACCAAATCTGGTAAAAACTTGCACATATGGTCACACTTGTTGCACCAAACTATAACAGAAGTTTGGTAACTAATACCACCTTATATCCAACTTAATATCACTACTACAACTATAATAAATAGTTAAAAGTACCTGGACTCATCTCTACGATCTTGAGTATCTTCCGAATCTTTTGATCGATCACCAGAATCATTAACAACATCACGTTCATCAAATGGCCTATCCCTACCACCTCTTTCACCACCAAAATCTCTATCAGTACCATACATTCCATCTCTACTGAATTCTCGATCTCCAAATCTTTTATCACTGAACCCTCTACTTCTAAATTCTCTTCCTCTATTCGAAAATCCTCGACCACTATCTCCATAGACTCCATCCCGTTCGCCAAATCCTCGACTTTGGTCATCATATTCGCGATCGCCATTACCATATCCTGATGTTCGATTATCATAACCACGATCACGGTTAGAATAACCGCGATCACGGTCATTGTATCCCCGATCTCGATCACTATATCCACGACTTCGGTCACCATATCCCTATCTCTATCTCCACCACCTCTATCTCGGTCACCCCCTATCTCACCACCCTCTATCTCGGTCACCATACCCCCTATCTCGGTCACCATATCCTCTATCTCGGTCGCCGTAACCCCGATCTCTGTCACCATATCCCCTATCTCGATCACCGAATCCACGATCTCGATCACCAAATCCTCTATTTCGATCTCCGAATCCTCGACCACTAAATCCTTGATCTCGATCACCATATCGTCGATCTCGATCACCATAGCCCCTGTCGTTATAAGACCTTCGCTCATCAAATCCCTGTCTGTCTCTTTCTCCATATCCCCTGACATCATTGCCATCACGACCTCCTCTTTTATCTCTAAAATCACCACTCCTATATCCATCTCTATCCTTACTATCATATCCCTGTCGACCACCATAGCTTTCTCTATCACCATAATCATCCCTTCTCTCATTAGATGAACGCCATTGTCTATCATCATTGCGTTCCTCATTGGAAAAACCATTTCCAAAACCTCGTTTCTGATCACGATAGTCCATATTCCTGGAATCGCGATCAACAGGAGCATAATTTCTTTGATTAGCTCGCCAATCCCCATCAGATTCAGCAGGTTGATCACGAACTCTGCTGTCTTTTTCTTTATCTAAAAAATTAAAATAAAAGTAAAAAAGCAATACCTAAAGTAAAGATAGCTTTTACCACACGTTATATCACCAAATACAACCTCATATTACCAAATATTCCTCACGTCAAAGCATTATACAAGACAAAATGACAACTGATATAAATAAAATTTGTTATAAAAGTTGAAAAAAACAAACCAGTGCCCTGACTTTGTCCAGCCACATCAACGCGAATACGCCTTCCCTTTAAAGTCTAAAATTTATGTAAAGTTTATTGGTAAAGCCAAAATATTTTTCTGCATCTTTACTTATATTTAACAAAAAAATAAGTTTGTGTGATGTTAAATGCATGTTTCTAGTATGGCTAACGTGCAGCAAAACAATTGTAATGGCTAACGAGAAAAAAATTTTGTCCATACAAAACACTAAAAAACAATGAAAATATACAACAGTATGTAGCCAAGAAAATATAATAATGTAGATTCTTAATAAAAAAATACATGCAGGTACAAACACACAGGTAAAAATGCAGTTAAGCTGGTATAAATGCAGGTAAACACACAGGGTAAATGCTAAGATACACAAGCAGCAACAGATGCTGGTTAAAATGAAACTACACATGCAGATAAACACACAAGTAAACACACAGATACAAATGCACATAGACTACAAATGTTGTTTATACCCGATCATCAAGTTCCAAAGCTTTTAAAAAAACATGCATTTCATCAAACTCTGCATAACCAAAACCCTTCAACCTTCCATTTTCTGATTCTCGAGGCAAACGAACATCTTTCACCTAAAAATTTAACATTACGTACAAAACTTTACTTCTTAAGCAGAGATTATGAAAAATAGTATGTTATGTAACAAATAGATTCTATGCAAAGGCAAGCAGGTCACTTTTTAAATATGAATTGATAGTATAAACATACTAATAGTTTATGTGTCTACTGTATGGACAGAGCTGGATGAAACAGAGAAAGGAAGGCTTCATAAAACCTGATAACCAGGAAAGAACACATTTTAACTGGTTAAAGATGTCCCCAAGAGCTGGGTGATTAAAATTTTAGAAGAGTTACAAATCTTACTAAATGATGATTTTCACTTCAACCATGTAGGAGATTAACACTAAAGAATATTTCATCAATGCTATTGTGGGTTCCAGCCAGTGTGGGCAGTGATTATTGTTTGTTAAATCTAATAAAATTGGTTGCAAATCAATAATCATCAAAGCTGATTTATGAAATAATTATAAATTTAGATAATAAGATAGTTGCAGTGAACTTGTAAAGAACTAGTAAATTTCTTTTCAAAAAGATAAATACGTAAACTGTAAGCATAAAAAAAAGAATTCCAAACTGCAATACCTGCACACTTTGGAAAAAGTGAAAAATATCATCTTCATCCACATCGTATGGTAAATTACCAAGAAAAGCTGTGTATGGTGGACCCTTAGGTATGGAAGATATATCAATATTACCAGCCCTTGCAGATCGTGGAGCAGTAGGTAAGACAAAACGCTGTAATTCTTTAGGTTCAGCATAAGGATCAGTCCAGGAAACATTTCCTTCAATAAAATAATTTTTATCAATACACATGTTTAATGTTTTAATATATAATGTAAAATAGAGATGCTTACTGATTGGAAATTATGCATTAACTAGATTTTACTTAACATGAAGGCTACAGAATTTTAGACTAAAAATAATATTTAAATGCTCACAATGAAAAGCAGGTGACTTGCAACCCTCAAATGTTAAGTATTTTCACATCAATAAAGTGCCAAGGCAAATTTTGAAGGTGGTTTTGCAAACAGGAAATTTTATCATAGCATACAAGAAAAAATTTCTCAATTCTGATTTGTTAAGAGCAGTGCAATTTTTCCTAAATACAAGTGGAAAAATACAAAACACCAGGGCAAATTTCTTTTTTAGTCAAACTAAGAAGTAATATAAGAGCAAAACAAGATAAAATATTTCAAAGGCAGGAAAGTTTCATTATTGTAAACTAAGCAATTACAGTGGCTGGCATAAGTTTTAAGTAGATTTTCTTTGGCGACCAAGCCAACAGTTCATCATTTGCAAGTTTCTGGACAAAAATACAAACACTACTAAAACAAGAAACCTTGTTCTAGCTGCATGAGTGAAAGTTATGGTGATGTGAAAAATATTATCTGAACAAATTAAAAAATATGAGCCAGTTTATATTAATAACTGGCCAGCTGACATGTACATATGCTGAAATTAAAAATCAAGGGAATTGAGAAATTTTTTCATGTATATTATTACTAAGTAATAGCATAGTTTCTCGTGCAACTTGGAAAACAAGAACTCGTCCTTCAAACTTGTGCAATTTTGAGCATTTGAAAAACTTACTTGTGAATGTTTTTCCCAAATTGCACTCAAAACCATGCTATTACATATATAATAGCACTGAAGTCCAAAATTACTTGGTTGTGTAACTAGGTATGTCATTGAATACTGACGTAAGCTAATCTTGGCATTGGGCCACCTAATCTGGTTGAAAGCCATTACAAACACAAAAGTTTAATATTGATTTCATAGCCTGAAAATTCGTTATCCAGCATGGAAATCGTGTCATAAAAAGCTATTATAGAGAGAGAACGTTCAGTGAACCCAACACGAGTCTACAAGAAATACTTACCATAAAATGATTTATAACAATTTGTCAGCAAAACAAGATCAACATGTTGAATGGTCACTTTGTGATTTAAACCATGTTAACATATGAATAAAAATACGTACCATGAACAGGAAGATCTTCACTTTCATCTGCCCAACTTGTGGAAGTATTTGGTTTGGCAGCATACACCACGCTGTTCGCATTACCCTTTGATGTGTCATTAGATAAAAATGTTGTAAGTAACATGGTTTTGCCCTTTCCCTTTTTCTTGCCTTTCTTTTTTCCACCTGACAAAAAAGGAGTCAAGATAATTGTAAGTTAGTTTATTTCTTAATTAAAATAGGAGAATAATACAAAAAAAAGAAATTATTCTTTAATAAAATTTCTTACTTGTATCCGCCATGTTTAAAAAACGTGCGAGAGAGAATAATCGTGTCAATCGTGTGATTCAGCAAAAGTCAATTGCACGGGTCTTTACGACAGATAACGACTACGATCGAATTCACACGAGAGGGGCGTTTAATAGACACCAGGGGCAGGTTGCACGAAGTCTGGATAGCGTTATCCACTGGATAGCAAATTTTTCGAAACGTTCATAAAATCTTTTATAACAGAAAAATATACGATCGAAACTGTGCACAATCACTGAAATAGAATATTGTTTCGAAGATTACAAAATTTCTTTGTAAAAAATATAAACATCTTTTTTACAAGTTTGAAAATTTTCGCTATCCAATAGATAGCGCTATCCAGGCTTCGTGCAACCGGCCCCAGGCGTTTGATAGAGACAGGCGCTTAATAGAAGTTAGGCATTTTTTTAGGTAAAATTACACGTACTATTTGATACAACCAAAGTGAATGCTGCTCTAGAAATGGTTACTATACCAAAATGTAATGAATTGTTTATCAAATCCGTGCCACCGTGCCAAAAAGCTTATTCGCTAAACAACCAAATTGCAGTCATCTGGTCAATTGATTTCACTAAATTTACTCGTTATTTTCTCGTGATTATTTGCTGATAAACTATCTGCATTAAAATTGATTATTTACCGTAACGAAAGTACTAGATGTGGTCATTAGAAAAATTTAATTCTAACATAGTTCTAACAATGGTGTCGAAAAATCGTTATATGATAATCAAAAAACCCATATTTGGCACCCCATAGATGAATGCTTATCACCTTGAGGTCGTCACCTTGGACGGTAACAAAAAACAAACAGATTTACTGAGGTCACAAAAGCTCCCATACGGCATATTGAAGAGAACAAAAGATGAAGAGCTTGTATCTCCTTGTCGCGCTCCTACTTGGGATCTTAGGAAATCCTCAGTTTGTGGTAACAAAGTCAATAGTAACATTGTTTTGCTTCTTGGAACTTGAATTTTATCCTAATTTAATGTCTGTTGACATAAGAATGGCTAAACTAATATATTTTCTTCATTGAACGGCAAAATAACGAAAACCCAACCAAAAGCCCAACTTAACCGACTGTATTTAAAACAAAACAAAATTACTTAACGAACATCTTTAACTAACTTTTCTTTCCGATACTTTTGGCAAATTATAAGTTCAACGTCGAAAACGTTAATACGAATCTAATGAAGAAATTGAAATTATCCTTAGAAAATCAAAGTGGTTAAAGGAAACGACCCAGGATTATGTTATAAAAATAGCAGTGAAAAGATGACGCTGGTTCGTGATCGACAAAACATACCTAAACTCTTGATATGTTCAAATGTTAACGGTGTTTTTTCATGGAGAACAGTAGACGGTAGATATGATATCATGGTTTATTTCAGTAGTTCAATGATGCCTAAATTATCTATAGCTGCAATTGTTTATTTACAGGTTCTAGTTCTCCAGGAGAATTTTTCAACCCAGTATACGACTGTTCAACCATATTGAATAAAGATCCAAGAGCTGAAGATGGATTTTATTGGATAACACTTGGAGAAAAGAAACCAAAAAGGGTAAGAATATATAAGATCAATGTTATTTTCACAGATTATGGAGCAACATTATTTCAACTCACTTATTATGTTCGTTTATAAATATATTTAAAAAATTTTTATTGATTTTAGGCGTGAACAAATTTTAAAATTCCGATGAGATTATTTTCATTAAAGGTTTATTGTGACATGACGACTGATGGTGGTGGGTTCATGTTGATTGGTCGACAAAATACATCCGTTACATGGACAGTACCATCAAACAACAAGACAGTGGAACCATTTGGTGAACCTCATTGGATAAGTTCATTAGGAGAGGCACCAATGGTTGATTTTAGAGTACAAATGGCCACTAAAGATGATTTTAAGACAACTCAAGCTCATTGGTACAAAATGATTACTTTTGCAAATAGTTTCCTCAGCAAAAAAAAAATTTTAGTCGATGTCAATAATTTCAGGTTTTACAGATTTCAAAATCCACGTAAATTGAAAAATTTGATGATTTTCAACAAAGGAGGCTGTACAAATACATCACCAGGGATTGGTGATGTTAAGTACGTAAAAGATCTGATCACTGATAACGTTGTAACAACAAATTTTCGTTGCTCAAAATTTGGTTTGGCATACAATGAAAAACAAATTTGGATGGGTATGAAAGAAATGGTTTTATTTTCGAGCTCATATCAATGATAGGATCTCTAAAAATGTGTCCTGCTTTACATAATTTTGTGATTGTAGGCAAAAATGAACGATTGTTTAAACAGACCCTGTCCGTGGGGATTTTCTTTTCTTGACAAGTTTCCCATTCAAATTGCCTTTTCTGGAGCATTCAGGTAACGACAACTATTTAAAGCTAACAATTTTACGCACATTTACTGTTCATCTAGACGTTTAGACTTTAAAATACATATTTTGTGTATTTATGAATGATGACGTTTATCATCAACCTTTACGTAAATAAGTAAGTGTATTATGTTAGATGTAATTTTTTGAGATTCTTCCCCCCCCCCTCTTCGAATCAACAAGTGGAAATCTCGCCAGTACCACTGTATGCAAGGATATAAAAAATGAAGAAGAAGTAATTAGAAAACAGAAACTTGTTTTAATAACATGGCGATTCTTTAAAATTAAATACTTCTATATACTAAAAAGCAGGGAAAAAATTTCATCTTAACATTTTTCAAAATTCAGCTACAGCACAACGAATCAAATTTCTGGGATAAACTTTGGAGCGACGGCATTAGTTGGCTGTGACAACAGAAAGGTTTTTATTATTGTCTGTAAATTATTTTGTTTTAAGAATATAAAATTCAGTCTCTTAGCTCAATCATGAGTGTAAGGTTTATGTCAGATAAAGACCTTACTGTATAGATTGGACAAGTTTAACGCAGGCCGGTAAATCTTTTCAAATACTGTTGTGCACTGTATTGATAGATAAAGTCAATAAGAATAGTTTAAGATGTATAAATGACAACTGTTTTGGTGATACATTATGCACGTAAAGTATTTCTTTCAGTTTGTTTTTTTCGTTAGATTGAAAGGAGTTCACAGTTTTGTCAATTTATTTAAAACAACGTAATCGCAGGAAAAATTATTTAGATTATAATCATCATTTTATCTCATTCTTAATAAACTTTGTCTCAACGTATATTACGTATTATTGAATAATATATAGTGCTGTGGATGTTATGGTCCTAAGAATGGCAAGAAAAATTATTGTTTTCAAGAATGTGTGGCAAAGAATGGTGGAACAATAAAGAAAAATGTTTATACATGGTTTTGGGTGCGTTCTCGCATTCCTAAAAGAATATGGAGTAATTGTATGGATTACAAAGTTATAGAAAATGGAAATGCTGTTTGGTACAAGTTACTGGGTAGTAATGAAGTACCTGTGAAAGTATGTTGTGCACGTGTATAATTGCTGTCATGGCATTATAATGATGAATATAATATGTCATACAAACATTTAAAAATTGAATCAATCCATCTATAATCAACCAAATGGTTATTAAATAACTGTGATTGAAGAAATTTTGGTAAATCTAAGGACAGGCCGGATTAAGAGGTGCCTAGCCCCAGGCAAACGAAATCTGTGGAATTTGAATACTATGGGCAGCATAAGCGACTCACATCTTCGGTTATATTCCCAATAAATAAAACTAAGTTTAGTATGTTTCGTAGCTAATTTTTCCTTGACAATAAACAAAATATTTCTCTTTGTTCTACAGCAACAAAGTTTAAATCCATCTTGAAGTATATGAAAGCCCCAGGATTGCTGCCTACTCTTGCCCTTAGGTTAATCCGGCACTGTCTGATGAAAGTACACATCCTTCAGAAATGCTAAAGTGTCTTTTATTTTGCTAGGGTCGTTGTACAAAAAATAAACCATTATTTTACGAAGGAGTAAGTGATAATATATGCAATTTATTTTCGAGTTTCTTTCATCATTCTTCAATTAAAACGTGTCACTTTCATAAAATTAATTCGTTTCACGAGCACACAAATATTCGTAGTATTTTTCACGTCAATTTTTTTTATCAAAAGTATACATGTAAATACGATGTTAATTTTCACTTACTTAGGCTAAATGTTTACTTTAACAGATGATTGTTGTACCAGATAATATCACCATGAAAAAAGTTCCAAGTATTGAAGGAATGATGGTTTATCGTAAAGACAAAAATAAACTTTATGTCCAAGAAGATAAACAACTAAAGGCATTGGCTGAAGAAAAAAACTTAAAAAAGGTATAAGATTTTAAAAAACACTTGAGAAAAACGACGATTTTTTTGAGAGCAAACATGTTTCGACATTATCAGAATGCCATCTTCAGTGCAGAATGGTTAGTGTTAGGTAATATGATACGTAATATGATATAAATACATTAATTACAATGAATAGGATTATGATTCAGTAACTAAATATAAAATATTACGTATCATATTACCTAACACTAATAACATGCTCAAAATCGTTAAAAAACTGCTAATTAGAAATTATGGTATAAGATTTTCAAGTGCTCTATGAATCAGAATGAGGTTAATCAGAGCAAATGCAAAAACCTAATTGGCCATGCACGGCAATTATAATGACGAGTTTATTAGAATCTATAATAACTGTTATTTTCTAGATTCTACAAACTCTGAACAAAGGCATATCGAACCTTGAGAATGAAATAAAAACCCTAAATATTTCTTTGGACAGAAGATTTTCTTCTTTTCTTTCACGTACGTATTTACAGTCTAAAATTTTTTATTGATGACTTTACATTAAAAGTAACTTGCTCAAAAATGCAAGATGATCTGATATCACGTACATCTATGTTTGAACTTGAAATAAAAGAAAGTCACGCGCTTTTTTTTCCAGTTAATTTCCAACAATCCAAATCGCCATAAACGATTTTAATTGACATTTGTCAACTAATCTCTTGAACAAAATCTTTAGGTGATATTTCGGCTTCAACAATACTCAAAGATGAACCAGAAAGTTTTTTGAAACAATTAAAGAATTGGTTTTCATTCAGAAAATTGGTTTGTTGTTGGAGAGCCTCCATTGATGTATGGGATTCAAGAATTTTCCACTCAAGATGTGACTTTCGAGGAAAAACTATAACTTTAGTTAAAGTTGGTAAATACATTTTTGGAGGATATTCAACGATAAGTTGGGGTGGTAAGTTTTGCTATATTTCAATGTATGTTTATAATGGTGAATGTTTAATTTTTGTCTTTGTTTAAATTTGTTGATGAGTTGGTTCTTACTTCTTGTTTAGTAATTTTATAAACATTTATTAATAAATAAAGTACGAGAGAAATGTTGATTGTGCCCATCAAATATAAAATGTAACAACCAGTTTAAACATAAATTTATATTTATAGGTTCAAGTGGTTATCGAAGCAGTTCCAGTAATTACATTTTCTCACTTCGTAACAAAGACAATTTAAGTCCATTTAGATCCCCGGTTTATCGTAACAGCGACCACGCCATCTATACTAACCCTAGTTTTGGACCAACATTTGGAGCAGCAAGTGACCTCTACATTGCAAGCAACGCAAACAAAAACAAACATTCCTACACCAATTTTGGAAACACCTATCGTCCTCCATCTGGTTACAGTTATGGCAGTAGCAACACCAAAGATCTTCTTGCAGGTTCACGCTACTTTACACCTGATGAAGTTGAAGTTTATTATTATGTTTAACGTTTCACGTGAACTTCACGTGACTTCCAATGTTATCGTTGATTCAGTTAAATATGTGATAATTAATTTTTGTACGATGTAGTTATATGTCGTCCTAATTATTTCATATGTCATAATTATTTTTGTTCAACTTTTGTTTTATTTCCTTGTAATGTTAAACGAAGCACTATTGTTAACGATTAAAAATGATTTCGTAACTAATTTGCATCACTAAAACATTAATTTCCGTTATTTTCAATAAACAAGCAGTGGCATGATTACAGCTTTTACGTGTAGTGTTTTATACTTTAACCATTGGAAAAAAAACATTAAAATTTACCCAGGTTTTGTCAACAGAAGTAAGGGAATGCTCTTGAAACTATACTAAAAGAATATTTTCATAATTGGAGAAAAAAATGGAACTGCTTTGTTGTATGATAACATCAAAATGTAAAGCAAATGATTTCAATGCTGTAAATTTATCATGAATACCTAAACATGGAAAATGCTTTAAAAGATAAGATTGTTGGTTGAAGTTATCTGTGGCATAATTAACGTTTGATGAGATTAATAAAAGTTTTATCACATTATTTGTTCGGAATTCGTTTGTAGTGTAGTTGAAAGTACGAACATAAAAATAGGTTCAAGCGTACACGAGGCCAGCCTGTCAAACATATGGGCGCAAAATAAAGTATATTCATAAAGACAGTAAAAACAATACAACCTACTTTTAAGTCACGTAAACAACGGTTTTAAAATGATCGATAAAAACTATCGCATTTAAATAATATTGACAATGACCGCGCGTTATGTCTACAAAAAGACTAAGAACGAGCTGCTTCAGTGGATCTGAAAGAGACAAAACCCTACTTCTTCCTGAGTCCACACGGTCTCATCTTTGTTTTTGAGATAATCATAAAACGTCAAAAGGCAGTTCTCTTTTCAAATTATAATCACAAATTATAGGTTGTGTAAAAGCACTTACGATAACACAACGGCATGTTTGGTAGAATTGGGTGGAATATATCACAATGGGTGATTTGGCTTCTACGTTAAGCGAAAAATAGTGTTCTTCAAAGATGTTCTTAACGGAAAAAAAAGTTCTTTGACTAGCATGACCTCCAGATACGCCTCACAGTATTTTAATTTAGATTCACAACAACTAGCTAAGTCAATAAAGGACAATTGCCAAATCTAAAATTAGTTTAAAATCATATCAGCCAGTCATTGAAGATGCCAAGAAAGCAACCCCTCTTTCATAAAAGCGGTGATCACCCCCCTGCTCAACAAATTCCATTACGACAGTGAAAAGAAGCTCGCGACGATTCTGATTAAGATACACAGGAAGTGTGACCTAAACAGAAGTACAAAATATGTTCATTAAACCTTCAAGGACGTTATAAAATACTACCTAACTTCAAATTAGACTTTTTTTTCTACAAGACCATATATTGATAGTTAAAGACACTTGCCTTTGCTTGTTTGGAAAGTTTATCATCGTCAGAAAATCTGGAAATCACCAAAACATCAATAATTACAACACATGTTCTCTTGAAATAAATAATTACAAAAAGCAAATGTTTGTTTCTACCTGATCCAACTAAGACTCGTCAATGGCAGGTCAGTTGTGATAACTGTCGCAAGCTCTAAACGATTATTCACACATTTTTCACCTTGAAGTTTCAAACCTAAACAAAAAATAATCAGTAGAGTAAAGAGAACATCACTTATTGCTCACACACGTAATTTGAGTCAAGAAAAACAGTTTTGTTCAAATTCATGCAGAATAAGCATTAACTTCTAAACTGACTTTACGCTCAATATCGCTAAATAGCATAATGTAACAATCTAATCCTACTTAAATACCTGTAATACCAAAACTGCAGTCATCAAGTTCTATTTCTTCATTCTTCCCACGTGATATAGTCATCTAAATGTGACAAAACATGTTTAAACAACTTGAATATATTCAGACGACTGCAATTATTACTAAAGATAAACTATATTTGAGAGTAAGGGTACCTTCAGGGAAAGCTCTTCCAAAGACCAGTTATTAGCTTGAGCAACATATTGTCTGGTTGCTGTTATATAGGCTTCAGGGACAAACAACCATCCAAGATGAACACGCAGGTTCTACGTAACAAAAAAAGTTTTGATCAAGATCTTTTACAAATGTCGGAATTACCTTTAATAAGATATGAAAGAGAGCTTGAACAACTTTAACGTAAAGTACAAATAAGTGATGGCTTTCATCAATCCTTGATGTTTAAAAGTTTCAACGAACGTAAATTTAGCAACAAGTGAAAATGTAAACAACAATGAGCGTAAATTTAGCAACAAGTGAAGAAGTAAACAACAACAAGCGTAAATTTAGCAACAAGTGAAGAAGTAAACAACAACGAGCGTAAATTTAGCAACAAGTGAAGAAGTAAAAACAACGAATAAATTTAACAAATGAAGTGCAACAAGTGAATGTAAACAACAACGAATTTGCAATGGTGAAAATGTAAACAATGGAAGGAATGGAATGAACAATGGAATGGAATGGAATGGAAAAAATGGAATAAATGGAATGGAATGGAATGGAATGGAATGAATGAAAAAGAACAAATAAATGCAACAAGTGAAATAAACAACAATGGAATAAATTAGCAACAATGAAGAAGTAAACAACAACGAACGTAAATTGCAACAAGTGAAAAGTAAACAACAACGAAATAAATTTGCAACAAGTGAAGAAGTAAACAACAACGAACGTAAATTTAGCAACAAGTGAAAATGTAAACAACAACGAACGTAAATTTAGCGACAAGTGAAAATGTAAACAACAACGAACGTAAATTTAGCAACAAGTGAAGAAGTAAACAGCAACGAACGTAAATGATAAGGACATATATGGTTTTATGTGGACGTTTGTCATACCTTCAGTCCTTTATTAGATCCACTGTGTGAAACGGTAGAAATTTGTTGAAGTTGTTGTATACGGTCACTGAAATCACCAATCCACTGAATGACAGTAAGACCTGATAGAACTGTATAACGACGCCAATTCTTGGGAAGAATAGCTAAAACATCAAACATGAAATTATAAATAGCAACAAAATACGAGAAACATAGAATTATATGTTAAAAAATAGGATTCCAATGTGCTACGGAGATATTTCGTTGACAAAAATATATTCTGTGTGCACAGTTGTGAATAAAAGAGAAATTTTAGTCGTACCTTTCATCAAATCACTTATAACATTCCTTAGATAATTTGTTGGCTTTTTTACTTGCTCACAAAAACCAATAACATTTTGTAGATCACCACGGACCGTTTTAAGCAATCCTATTCCAACATTTACCTGCTCAACGAAATAGAAAGATAAACAGATTACAAACCACATCATACTGCGGGTTTTTATACCAAAAAATTGACCAAACTGATTTAGACGATTTATTATTGTTTGAACTTGTTCACAGTTCACTTTGCAAGGAATCTCTGATCATTCTCGTTTTAAAGTATCAACATTAAGATAATAACGATACTTTATACTAAAGACGTGATTTTTGCCGTCACAATTTACCTCGCGTTCAAAGAATCGGAATAAAGGATCTTTGATGTTTTCATTAGTTCGTTTCAAGGCAACAAGTTCCTAAATTAAGATAAAGTCCAGAATTGCTCTCAAGAAAGAACTAAATTTTGGTCAGTTATTTCACTTAGGGCAGTACTGTAGCCAGCCTGACTTTTTACTCCAGCTAAGCAAAAATTTGGTGTCTACTGACATGGCGGGAGTAAATTTATAGGCAGGCTACTCTACTGGACTGGGGTAGACGCACCTCCGGTACCATTGCCAACCAATTAGTGGCTGTGCTATGTAACGATCTCATCCATGCTGGACGAGTATCATTAGAGATCAGAGACTGGTTTCTGCAAAAATAAGTGATATTTAATAGATAAGGACAATGATTGCTTTTTTTTTGATCAAATGAGAATTGATGACTTTTTTAAAATGACGATTTCAGAAAACGAAAAGATGCTTTATATGACTGCATATACTGACTTGTCTAATCCCGGAGAGTAAGCTAATTCTTCTTCATCGTCAATATTTTGCATCTTCAGAAGTTTGGTGGTAAGTGCCTGACCTAATATATATAAGAGTAAAAGAAAGATACGTTATACTAATATGTATGTACGACATAGTGACAGTAAATAAATCTGAAAGTGGCATTTTCAACCTTGAACAGTTAGCAATAATTTCTCAGCATTGTTTGGTAATCCAAGCCAGGATGGCGATTGAGAGTCTGGCAATTTTTCTGTCCATTGTACAAACTGTTCGCGTCTAAATGATAAACACAAAACTTTTATTTCAACATGGTGAAGGGACAGTAATGTCGAAGTGTTTGCACACTTTGGATGGATGATATATTTTATTACAAAACACGACGTGCTACCTAAGATGTGGTAAAAACGGCGTAAAAAGGGTTAAAATTTATCTATATATGGGCATATCACGCCTTTTTATGCCATTTTTGATGGCACGTTAATGTGTATGCTAAACTTCGTCTTACAAAGAATGACGTAATGATCCATTCAAATGATGAAATTCAGTTTTAACATTCTATGGTAAAGACATTTTGAATTACCGTATTCCATCTGGCATGTTAACATTTTTGCCTTTAACACCATCAGCATCCAATACCAATGGAAAATCTGATTCAAAACTGCTGACTGTGAACAATCGATTAACAAAGGAAGAAAGCAAACGCTACAAAAGATATTGATATGTGAGTTTATTTGCATTTTACCTCCATATATGAATTATCGGCGAAAATTCAAAAACGAAGGACATTCAAATGTACTTATGTCTTAAACAATGAAGGACAAGGGGAGCAATGATGAAAACAGTTGAAAATGTTTGAAAACAAAAAAATCAAAGCCAGTAAGCCGTTACACTGGTCACATGATCATATCGTGTATTCACCTGATCAAATTCGTTATCGATGCGCCCTCCATATATGGCCTGAGTAAGAAGTGTCCTCAATGCATCCCATGGTACTTTGTCAGGAGATATATTTGTCCGACCCTATAAACAGTATAACAGTTTTACAATACAAATACTTTATATAAATATTTTCGAAGTCTTAACTATTAAACTGACCAATCAAATGGACAAGAGCTGCTTTAACATATCTCATAATAAAAATGAAGATAGTTCCAACTTACTTGGGATGAAATGTCAAGCCACGTGTCAATGGTTTCACAGGCAACTCTAAGGTCAGACTCACTGAACTCATAATGCTTGGACCAACCCAATGGTGCATAACGTAAACGTTCTTGTACAATAGCATGTAACCATGCCAACAGAAAATACAAACGTGTTCGTTCGGTTGGCGCCTTAAATAAATATCAATGATGTAAATAACTGATATTACGTGATATTTGTAAGACAAAAGTGTAGTATTAAATAACAACTATGTTATGTACATGGATAAACAATGTACGTCCTCGGTCTATCGTTATAATCCTATATTTCATGCCATGTCGTAATAAAAATGTAACATGAAGTTCTGCTAACAAAATATCCTTTGTTACAAAATATCAGTTGATCGTGCTAATATATTGTTGAAAAATGTATTTTCAGTATCCGTAATGTTTATCTACCTTGCACATGCGCGATACAGGAATAGTACTGAAAGTTCGGAAAAGGTTTGCTCTTATGCCAGGAGGAGGTTCGAATACAAAAACACGGGAAGCTCGCAATAAATTCACAGGAACCTCAATGAAAAAACCATTAAATTTTAATTAGGAAACAATGAAAATAATGGCAGAAATACAATATGATATTACACAGGATAAAGTTGAACAATGACCACAAACATATTTATTTTAGAAAAGAGATTTTGAAAAACAAAGTAGAAATTTTCGTATACCTTAGGATTAATTTCCATAGTAAGGAAAAGACGGAAATTTGCATGAGGATTCAAAGTGTGTAGTTTGTTTTCCAATGTTACCAACATTGTGGAGCCAAATGAACATTTTTCAACAAAACCCATCTAAAAAACAACAATGAAAAAATCTAGCAATTCACAATTTTAACGTCAACATGAAAAGAAAAAATAGCAACAAAAATCTAACACTGTTCTTCTCAATAACAAACACACAACTTAAACTTAACAAACACACTTAACAATAACAAACACACAACTTAAAATAGATCCACATAGGGTATATACGGATACGATATTTAAAAAACCCTAATGAGTTCCTATAATATCCACCTCAGTCCTAGCAAGATCATGGCGAAACTCCAAACCAGCTTGTTGAAGATGGTGACTCCAAGTTGTGAACAAATTTTGACGAAGCTGCTGATCGAAATATCCTGCAAGTTAGTCATATAAATTATTATTGCAGCAAACCATTGCTTTAATATGACAAATAAACATAAATTACCTGCATAAGCCAAAAATGCTGACGATAGCATTACATCACCGACAATGGTTCCCATTTGAGCTTGAAAAGCGTTGCTTGTGTCTTGCCAACGACTGCGTTCATCAGACAAACTCCTTAATAATGCCACGCTCCTGTTTACTTTTGATTCAACAGCCGTCATCTCGGTCTTTATCGCTTGTGCTTCACTAATCAAGGCAGCATATTCTTCTTTGTATTGCGCTATGCTTTTCTCCAGACCAGTAATAACTTTGGCAATTTCAGCAGCCTAGTCAAGTTTATCATAATGGTAACATTACACTCTCCATTCACATGATTAAAGAAAAATACAACGACGTATAGCTTTTAACAAAAGTAAAGGCGATTTCAAGTGACGTGTACAGAAATTTAAAAAGATTGTAAGCGGTGAGACTGAGGTACTTTATTTAACAACTTCGTATTCATTAAATTCCTATCATTGTGTATAAACACAACTCGTTGCCCGCTTTATTTTGTCAAAATCATATTTCATAGAGATATTTTTACCTTAGCTTCAGCAGCACTTGCTTCAGTTTCTAAACTCTTCAGTTCATGGCGTAAAGGTTCTATTTTCAACAACATATCAGCATATTTCACCTTCAATGTAAAAAAATCATTAATTAAAGATAATCACACGAGCAAATGCTTTATATACATATTCACATTACTTTTGACTGCAATTTAATGTGAATATACAATACTAAACATGATTATCTGAACTATTGTAGCTTATATCATGTATTTTACAAAATTAAATGAAGTTAATCGCATGATAGTGAAGTTTTCGAATTATTATCATCAAAACAGTATATTTTATAAAGATGTTTAAATATACATAATCCATAGATCTTTCTCTCTACCACAATGAGAAAAAATTAAGCAGGATATGTGTATACCTGTGCAATGGCCCATTTCACTAACGGACCACAAGCTTGACTTGCACGATTGACTTTATCAAAGTTGTAGTCTGGCTGAGACATGTACTTGTTCAACATTTGAGCGCGAACTTCTTCACTACAGTTACATAGAACACAATACGTAAAACACAAATCAAAAAAGGAAAAGAGTTTACGAGACAGCAAAAATAAAAAACATTTAGAACATATTTCATAGAAAGATGTCATGTTCTCACTACTCTATAGTAACAGTAAACAACTGGGGTGTATATCGTTATCACTCGTGAACTGTCGAAATACTTCAAAACCCGTTTGTTATCACATTAACTCTGTGTTCAATTTAAAGATGTAAAAAAGGGAAAAATTCATGTAACATTCAGCTAACGTCTGAACAAATAGGTGATAGTTGTCACATTAACTGTTGGTAAATTTATGTGGCACAATGCAGTTGTAGAACAAGGAATGACGTACGTAACATCCTTGCACATATCAGATTTGTGCGTAGCTAACAATCATTATATAAAGCAAAATTATAACAACAGAACATCACACATCGCGATAGATATTGTACAACGTGATGATGAAATATATCCAAAAAATAAATACAGAAAGTTGAATAAAATGAGTTATCTACCAATAAAGAACACAGGTACTTGATCAAAAATTTTAATTTTAAAGCAGGGCAATAATTATCTGATATTTTCTGTTTGGAAAGTAACAATGGTTGGAATAAAATTATCTCTCATGATGATACTGCGAATGGCCCTCCAATCAGCTGCCTGTTCACCCAGTAGTAAACATATAGACTCCAAAGCAACTTTAACTGCTTGAGGTGGATTGGCCATTGAACGCACTTCAACCAAATGTTGCTTTTTATTTGATTTTACGGCTAAATATAAAAAAAATTTGAAATTAGAGCAATAGAAATATGATCAAAATAACTTCTCTAAATAACGCTTTATGTTAAGAAATGGGATTATGTATAGAATGTGAAATAATACAGGGATTAACTTTTCTTTGTTTTTATTAAAGCAGGACAAAGATAGCTTAGATAAAAATGCAACTTTAGCGAAGACAAAAACGCCACATATCACTTGACTTGTTTGCTTAACCACTAAATTTAACATAGACAGTTGACATCCACAAACATTACCTTGTTTAGCGTCTTGTACTGCAGGCTCAACCTGCGCTAAATCGTCCATAACAAGTGCTTTCTTTTCTTTAATCTTTACTGTTTGTTGCTGTAGACGGTTGATCACATTTTTCATGAACATATTGTTTTAAAAAGTTGATACAAACGTTTAAACATACCGCAATAGCCGCCTGAAGTTCTGTAGAAGTCACTCTCTTTTTCTCTGCCTCCTGTTGATCTTTTAACTAAACATGTGGCACGAAAGTCATAATGAAGAAATAATGAAACAAGATATATTAAATTACAAAAGATTGCAACATAAAACAACAATAGAATTGATTCATTAGAACAAGCTTAGTCGTAAAAATATAACAAAGAACACATAATGTAATACATAATGGAACTTGTCGTAGAAACCGAAGTGGACCGGGGGGATACGATAATTGTACAACATTCTATGAATACTACGTAGGTTAAAATTCAGAGAAAATTATTTATTGGTAAATCTTACTACAGCTACAATGACAGGTTGCTGACTTAACTTATGTTGCTCGAAACTGCACTTTTTTCTAAAATGTATGTTGTTCTCATTCAAAAATCATTTAATCAAGAGATAAATTGAGAAAATTACAGAAAGAGTGAAGTTGAATAAACAGACACAAAACCCGATTAATGAAAAACATACAGGTATAAAAGGGGATAAATGGTAAAAAAAACCACACAAGGTTGTTAACCAACGAAAAGAGAAACAAACGAACATACGTACGTACCATCTGTTTCAGTTTTTGATTAGCTAATGCATTCTTTGCTTTCAATTCTTGACTCTTCATAGATAAACTTTTTTGAAGTTCTTCGACCTAAACACAAAATAAACATAAAACAAAGGAAGAGCATTCCTGTATTTTGTTTTACAATCAACATACGCACCTGCTCAACAGTTTCTTTTATTTTTGTCAAACCAACATTTAAATGAAGTTGTTGCTCTTCCAAATCCGATCGTTTCTCGTTGTACAGTTTTACCTTTAAAAAGATTTAGGAAAATAATGAACACGCACGCGGGGCGTGACTGTTTTGAACACGCGTGACGTGCTGTTTTGAACACGCATGTCGTGACTGTTTTGAACACGCGTGACGTGACTGTTTTGAACACGCGTGACGTGACTGTTTTGAACACGCATGGCGTGACTGTTTTGAACATGCGTGGCGTGACTAAGTCAATTCGATAATTGAGGGTGTAGAGGGTGATATTCATAAAAGCATGTTTCCCCCTCTTAAACACATGATTACATGAATATTTCCTCCTCTCGACTTTCAAAAATTACTACGTCACTGACTGTATAGCATTCGTTTGAGAATGTTTACATTGAGACAACAATGTTTTTTAGACTAAATTTAAAGTCCCAAAAACTTACGTAGTGATTAATAAAATCCAGGTAATGTCTAGGAGTTATTGCCATACAACGTCCTCCGCGTTTAGCAAGACGAGCATTTGCTTCATGTAAAGTTTGATGTACAAATACAAAAGCGTTGATAACTGCCTCATGGTGAGTAGGTGGAATCGATAATCCTTCATAAACAACACGAATGTAGTCTGGAGCACGATACTAAATGATGAAAAAATAAACAAATAATTTTACCAAGTACTTATAGTAAACATAAGTCAATATAATAAAACTTTACCAATGAATTGTCTAAATCAATCTTGCTCGTAAATTCTTTACCAACTTGATAGAGTGCACCAGTTGACCAATCACCAAACCAATTCAATACGCATCTGTATGGTTAATACAAAATTCGTTGTAACATGAAGCTAACTAAGGCCCGCTTTCAAACTTTACATATGTCGAATGAATTAAAGACAAAAAAACTAAGATAAATTGACATTCAAAACGGACGTAACACATGCAAAAGCCTTATCCTTCCATTAACAGATGTTTACCTGTTAAACAATGCAGGAGAAGTGGCGGCTCTGTCTTTCAGTCCTTAAGAAGATGGATTCATTGTAAAAACAACGTGAAGATTTCTTATTACCTGCAAATAAACAATTCACACTAATAAACATTGCTTATGAAAGATAATAAATATTCTGGTATTTCCTTTACATTAAAAAGTGGTTTTAATTTTTGTTTCTATATACAATATTTATATGTACATTATGATACAAACAAAATAATGAGATAATAATATCCTAACTTGATTGCCACCTCAAAACTCCTGATGGTGTTAGATCTGCAGACAGGGAAGTGATCATTTCCATGTTGTCTTGCATGTTACCAAGACTATCTTCTCCATCACTCCATGTCAGATCTTCTACATAGCCTGTTACATTCTGGTCTTCCATACTCATTAGCACATCTTGAAAGAAGTCAATCATTCCCTCTTCAATCACATGCCGCGAGCTTCTTTTTTCTGAATAATATGGCACGAAACATGATACTAAATAATTAGCATCAGCTGGTTGTCCAGATCGCCCTTTGACAAAAAGCTGCTTGCAAAAATCACCCTCGGCCTGCAATAAGGCCAAAAATCTACTATAATCACATCATCTTGCCATTGGGTGTTAGATAAACTAATCTTGTCATTGTCAAATTGATACTGTAACTTGATAGCAATGGTTTATCCTCCTCTACTACAGACTTTAATTGTTTTCTTGCTGGTTGATCAAGTTCATCATCAGTATCAGACTTCTTATCTTCCTTGCTCCTTCTTACATCATCTTTACTGCAGACATACAAAGACATAGCTCTCGCCCCGTATTTTACTATAAAAGATTAAGTAGTATGCTAAAATTAATGAATAGTGAATAATGGAAAAAAGCTCGTCATTTTCGATATTTTAGTTTTACGGTAAACTGACACGTCACTTCCCTTGGCCAATTATTTCTAAAGAAATGAATATTGATGTGTCGCTCAAAGCTTTCATATATAAAGCTTTCATATATATCGCTCAAAGCTTTCATATATAAAGCTTTCATATATAAAGCTTTCACTGTCCACATATTTTTCAATTATCTTGTTAGAAAAGTTAGATATAATTTACCTATTCCACACTGTGTACATTAATTTGGCATTACTTTTGTGCTCTGTGCCACATATACAACAAAATTTCGCAACTTCAAAAGAACTTTTGCTTTCTTTTTTCGCCATATTCTATTTATGTTTATCAGTCCCAGTCTCTTCGAATACTGCTCTTGTGCCGTGAGGAATTTTGGTTGTGCCGTGAGAAGTTTTGTGTGTGCCGTGAGATTTTGTTTGTGCCTTGAGATTTTGTTTGTGCCTTGAGATTTTGTTTGTGCCTTGAGATTTTGTTTGTGCCGTGAGATTTTGTTTGTGCCTTGAGATTTGGTTGTGCCGTGAGATTTTGTTTGTGCCTTGAGATTTTGTTTGTGCCTTGAGATTTTGGTTGTACCGTGAGATTTTGGTTGTGCCGTGAGATTTTGTTTGTGCCATTTTGTTTGTGCCATTTTGTTTGTGCGTGAGATTTTGTTTGTGCCGTGAGATTTTGTTTGTGCCCTGAGATTTTGTTTGTGCCCTGAGATTTTGTTTGTGCCGTGAGATTTTGTTTGTGCCGTGAGATTTTGTTTGTGCCGTGAGATTTTGTTTGTGCCGTGAAATTTTGGTTGTGCCGTGAGATTTTGTTTGTGCCGTGAGATTTTGTTTGTGCCGTGAGATTTTGTTTGTGCCGTGAGATTTTGTTTGTGCCTTGAGATTTTGTTTGTGCCGTGAGATTTTGTTTGTGCCTTGAGATTTTGGTTGTGCCGTGAGATTTTGTTTGTGCCGTGAGATTTTGTTTGTGCCTTGAGATTTTGTTTGTGCCTTGAGATTTTGGTTGTGCCGTGAGAATTTGTTTGTGCCGTGAGATTTTGGTTGTGCCGTGAGATTTTGTTTGTGCCGTGAGATTTTGGTTGTGCCTTGAGATTTTGTTTGTGCCGTGAGATTTTGGTTGTGCCGTGAGAATTTGTTTGTGCCGTGAGATTTTGGTTGTGCCGTGAGAATTTGTTTGTGCCGTGAGATTTTGGTTGTGCCGTGAGATTTTGTTTGTGCCGTGAGATTTTGTTTGTGCCGTGAGATTTTGTTAGTGCCTTGAGATTTTGGTTGTGCCGTGAGAATTTGTTTGTGCCGTGAGATTTTGGTTGTGCCTTGAGATTTTGTTTGTGCCGTGAGATTTTGGTTGTGCCTTGAGATTTTGTTTGTGCCGTGAGATTTTGGTTGTGCCTTGAGATTTGGTTTTGCCGTGAGATTTTGTTTGTGCCTTGAGATTTTGTTTGTGCCTTGAGATTTTGGTTGTGCCTTGAGATTTTGTTTGTGCCGTGAGATTTTGGTTGTGCAGTGAGATTTTGGTTGTGCCTTGAGATTTTGTTTGTGCCGTGAGATTTTGGTTGTGCCTTGAGATTTTGTTTGTGCCGTGAGATTTTGGTTGTGCCTTGAGATTTGGTTGTGCCGTGAGAATTTGTTTGTGCCGTGAGATTTTGGTTGTGCCGTGAGAATTTGTTTGTGCCGTGAGATTTTGGTTGTGCCCTGAGATTTGTTTGTGCCGTGAGATTTTGGTTGTGCCTTGAGATTTTGTTTGTGCCGTGAGATTTTGGTTGTGCCGTGAGATTTTGTTTGTGCCGTGAGATTTTGGTTGTGCCGTGAGATTTTGTTTGTGCCATTTTGTTTGTGCCGTGAGATTTTGTTTGTGCCGTGAGATTTTGTTTGTGCCTTGAGATTTTGGTTGTGCCTTGAGATTTTGTTTGTGCCGTGAGATTTTGGTTGTGCCGTGAGATTTTGGTTGTGCCGTGAGATTTTGTTTGCCTTGAGATTTTTTGTGCCTTGAGATTTTGGTTGTGCCGTGAGATTTTGGTTGTGTCGTGAGATTTTGTTTGTGCCGTGATATTTTGTTTGTGCCGTGATTTTGGTTGTGCCGTGAGATTTTGGTTGTGCCGTGAGATTTTGGTTTTGCCGTGAGATTTTGTTTGCCTTGAGATTTTGTTTGTGCCTTGAGATTTTGGTTGTGCCGTGAGATTTTGGTTGTGCCGTGAGATTTTGTTTGTGCCGTGAGATTTTGTTTGTGCCGTGAGATTTTGGTTGAGCCGTGAGATTTTGTTTGTGCCTTGAGATTTTGTTTGTGCCGTGAGATTTTGTTTGTGCCGTGAGATTTTGGTTGTGCCGTGAGATTTTGTTTGTGCCTTGAGATTTTGGTTGTGCCATGAGATTTTGGTTGTGTCGTGAGATTTTGTTTGTGCCGTGAGATTTTGTTTGTGCCGTGAGATTTTGGTTGTGCCGTGAGATTTTGGTTGTGCCGTGACATTTTGGTTTTGCCGTGAGATTTTGTTTGCCTTGAGATTTTGTTTGTGCCTTGAGATTTTGGTTGTGCCGTGAGATTTTGGTTGTGCCGTGAGATTTTGTTTGTGCCGTGAGATTTTGTTTGTGCCGTGAGATTTTGGTTGTGCCGTGAGATTTTGGTTGTGCCGTGAGAAGTTTTGTTTGTGCCGTGAGATTTTGTTTGTGCCTTGAGATTTTGTTTGTGCCTTGAGATTTTGTTTGTGCCGTGAGATTTTGTTTGTGCCATGAGATTTTGTTTGTGCCGTGAGATTTTGTTTCTGCCGTGACACCTATGGGCCACCGTAAAGTTGATTATATACCCTAACGAAAGTTCTAGATGTAGAAAGTACTAGGTTGGGTTACTAGAAAAATTTAATTTTAACATAATTCTAACAATGGTGTCAAAAAATTGTTATATGATAAAAAAATCCCATATTTGGCACCTCATAGATGAATGTTTATCACCTTGAGGTCGTCACCTTGGACGGCAACAAAAAAACAAACAGATTTACTGAGGTCACAAATAATTTCCATACGGCATATTGAAGAGAACAAAAGATGAAAAGCTTGTATCTCTTTGTCGCGATCCTACTTGGGATCTTAGGAAATCCTCAGTTTGTAGTAACAAAGTCAATAGTAACATTGTTTTGCTTCTTGGAAGTTGAATTTTATCCTAATTTAATGTCTGTTGACATGAGAATGGCTAAACTAATATATTTTCTTCATTGAACGGCAAAATAACGAAAACCCAACCAAAAGCCCAACTTAACTGACTGTATTTAAAACAAAACAAAATTAGTTCACGAACATCTTTAACTAACTTTTCTTTCCGATACTTTTGGCAAATTATAAGTTCAACGTCGAAAACGTTAATACGGATCTAATTAAGAAATTGAAATTATCCTTAGAAAATCAAAGTGGTTAAAGGAAACGACCCAGGATTATGTTATAAAAATAGCAGTGAAAAGATGACGCTGGTTCGTGATCGACAAAACATACCTAAACTCTTGATATGTTCAAATGTCAACGGTGTTTTTTCATGGAGAACAGTAGACGGTAGATATGATAGTTCAATATGGTTTATTTCAGTATTTCAATGATGACTAAATTATCTATAGCTGCTCTGGTTTATTTACAGGCTCTAGTTCTCCAGGAGAATTTTTCAACCCAGTATACGACTGCTCAACCATTTTGAATAAAGATCCAAGAGCTGAAGATGGATTTTATTGGATAACATTCGGAGAAAAGAAACCAAAAAGGGTAAGAATATATAAGATCAATGTTGTTTTCACAGATTATGGAGCAACATTATTTCAACTCACTTATTATGTTCGTTTATAAATATATTTAAAAAATTTTTATTGATTTTAGGCGTGAACAAATTTTTAAAATTCCGATGAGATTATTTTCATTAAAGGTTTATTGTGACATGACAACTGATGGTGGTGGGTTCATGTTGATTGGTCGACAAAATACATCTGTTACATGGACAGTACCATCAAACAACAAGACAGTGGAACCATTTGGTGAACCTCATTGGATAAGTTCATTAGGAGAGGCACCAATGGTTGATTTTAGAGTACAAATGGCCACTAAAGATGATTTTAAGACAACTAAAGCTCATTGGTATAGAAAATAATTACTTTTGCAAATAGTTTCATCAGCAAAAAAAAATTTTACTTGATGTCAATAATTTAAGGTTTTACAGATTTCAAAATCCACGAAAATTGAAAAATTTAATGATTTACAACAAAGGAGGCTGTACAAATACATCACCTGGAATTGGTGACGTTAAGTACGTAAAAGATCTGATCACTGATAACGTTGTGACAACAAATTTTCGTTGCTCAAAATTTGGTTTGGCATACAATGAAAGAACAAATTTAGGATGGGTATGAAAGAAATGGTTTGATTTTCGAGCTCATATCAATGATAGGATCTCTAAAAATGTGTCCTGCTTTACATAATTTTGTGATTGTAGGCAAAAATGAACGATTGTTTAAACAGACCCTGTCCGTGGGGATTTTCTTTTCATGACAAGTTTCCCATTCAAATTGACTTTTCTGGAGCATTCAGGTAACAACATCTATTTAAAGCTAACAGTTTTACGCACATTTACTGTTCATCTAGATGCTTAGACTTTAAAATACATATTTTGTGTATTTATGAATGATGACGTTTATCATCAATCTTTACGTAAATAAGTAAGTGTATTATGTTAGATGTAATTTTTTGAGATTCTTTCACTCCCTCCCCTCCCAACTCCTTCTCGAATCAACAAGTGGAAATCCCGCCAGTACCACTGTACGCAAGGATATAAAAAATGAAGTAGAAGTAATTAGAAAACAGAAACTTGTTTTAATAAAATGGGGGTTCTTTAAAATTAAATACTTCTGTATACTAAAAAGCAGAGAAAAAATTTCATCTTAACATTTTTCAAAATTCAGCTACAGCACAACGAATCAAATTTCTGGGATAAACTTTGGAGCGACGGCATTAGTTGGCTGTGACAACAGAAAGGTTTTTATTATTGTCTGTAAATTATTTTGTTTTAAGAATATAAAATTCAGTCTCTGGAGCTCAATCATGAGTGTAAGGTTTATGTCAGATAAAAATCTTACTGTATAGATTGGACAAGTTTAACACAGGCCTGTACTTCTTTTCAAATACTGTTGTGCACTGTATTGATAGATAAAGTCAATAAGAATAGTTTAAGATGTATAAATGACAACTGTTTTGGCGATACATTTTGCACGTAAAGTATTTCTTTCAGTTTGTTTCTATCGTTCGATTGAAAGGAGTTCACAGTTTTGTCAAATTATTTAAAAAAACGTAATCGCAGGAAAAATGATTTAGATGATAATCATCATTTTATCTCATTCTTAATAAACTTTACTAGCTCATAATTAATGTTCAATACTGCTAAAATTAATGTCCGTCAGTGCTAAACTAGCAAAACGCTTTTTGGATAGAGCAGCTAGTCTCAACGTATATTACGTATTATTGAATAATATTTAGTGCTGTGGGTGTTATGGTCCTAAGAATGGCAAGAAAAATTATTGTCTTAAAGAATGTAATGAAACGAATGGTGGAACAATAAAGAAAAACGTTTATACATGGTTTTGGGTGCGCTCTCTTATTCCTAAAAGAATATGGAGTAATTGTATGGATTACAAAGTCATAGAAAATGGAAATGCTGTTTGGTACAAGTTACTGGGTAGTAATGAATTACCTGTGAAAGTATGTTGTGCATGTGTATAATTGCTGTCATGGCATTATAATGATGAATATAATGTGTCATACAAACATTTAAAAAATGAATCAATCAATCTATAATCAACCAAATGGTTATTAAAAACTGTGATTTAAGAAATTGTGGTAAATCTGAGGACAGGCCGGATTAAGAAATGCCCTAGCCATGGGAAAACGAAATCTGTAGATTTTGAAAACTATGGGCAGCATAAGCGACTCACATTTTCGGTTATTTTCCCAATAAATAAAACAATTTTCTCAATAAATAAAACTAAGTTTAGTATGTTTCGTAGCTAATTCTTCATTGACAATAAATGAAATATTTTCTTTGTTCTACAGCAACAAAGTTTAAATCCATCTTGAAGTATATGAAAGCCCCTGGATTGCTGCCTACTCTTGCCCTTAGGTTAATCCGGCACTGTCTGATGAAACTACACATCCTTCAGAAATGCTGAAGTGTCTTTTATTTTGCTAGGGTCGTTGTGCAAAAAATAAACCATTATTTTACGAAGGAGTAAGTGATAATATATGCAATTTTTTTCGAGTTTCTTTCATCATTCTTCAATTAATACGTGTCACTTTCATAAAATTAATTCTATGCACGGGCGCACATATATTCGTAGTATTTTTGACGTCAATTTTTTATGAAAATTATACATGTAAATACGGTGTTAATTTTCACTTACTTAGGCTAAATCTTTACTTTAACAGATGATTGTTGTACCAGATAATATCACCATGAAAAAAGTTCCAAGTATTGAAGGGATGATGGTTTATCGTAAAGACAAAAATAAACTTTATGTTCAAGAAGATAAACAACTAAAGGCATTGGCTGAAGAAAAAAAGGTATAAGATTTTCAAGTGCTCTATGAATCAGAATGAGGTTAATCAGAGCAAATGCAAAAACCTAATTGGCCATGCACGGCAATTATAATGACTTTATTAAAACCTATAAAACTATTATTTTCTAGATTCTACAAACTCTGAACAAAGGCATATCAAAGCTTGAGAACAAAATAAAAACCCTAAATATTTCTTTGGACAGATTTTACTCTTTGTTTTCAGGTACGTATTTACAGTTTAAAATTTTTTATTGATGACTTTACATTTAAAGTAACTTGCTCAAAAATGCAAGAGGATCTGATATCACGTACATCTATGTTTGAACTTGAAATAAAAGAACGTTACGCGCTTTTTTTCTAGTTAATTTCCAACAATCGAAATCGCCATAAACGATTTTAATTGACAAATTTCTACTAATCACCTGAACAAAATCTTTAGGTGATATTTCGGCTTCAACAATACTCAAAGATGAACGAGAAAGTTTTTTGAAACAATTAAAGAATTGGTTTCCATTCAGAAAATTGCGTTGTTGTTGGAGAGCCTCAAATGATGGATGGGATTCCAGAATTTTCCACTCAAAATGTGACTTTCGAGGAAAAACTATAACTTTAGTTAAAGTTGGTAAATACATTTTTGGAGGATATTCAACGATAAGTTGGGGTGGTAAGTTTTGCTTTAATTCAATGTATGTTTATAATGGCGAATGTTTAATTTTTGTCTTTGTTTAAATTTTTTGATGAGTTGGTTCTTACTTCTTGTTTAGTAATTTTATAAACATTTACTAATAAATAAAGTACGAGAGAAATGTTGATTGTGCCCATCAAATATAAAAAGTAACAACCAGTTTAAACATAAATTTATATTTATAGGTTCAAGTGAGTGGCAAAAAAGTTCCAGTAATTACATTTTCTCACTTCGTAACAAAGACAATTTGAGTCCATTTAGATCAGCCATCTATCAAAACAAGTACTTCGCCATCTATACTTACCATGGCGATGGACCAACGTTTGGAGGAGGACATGACTTCTACATCGCAAGCGACGCTAACAAGAACACAAATTCCTACACCAATTTTGGACACACCTATCGTCCTCCATCTGGTTACAGCTTTAATAGTAGCAACACCAAAGCCCTTCTTGCAGGTTCACAATACTTTACACCTGATGAAGTTGAAGTTTATTATTATGTTTAATGTTTCACGTGAACTTCACGTGACATCCAATGTTATCGTTGATTCAGTTAAATATGTAATAAGAAATTTTTGTACGATGTAGTTACATGTCGTCCTAATTATTTCTTATGTCATAACTATTTTTGTTCAACTTTTGTTTTATTTCCTTGAAATGTTAAACGAAACACTATTGTTGACGATTAACAATGACTCGTAACTAATTTGCATCACTAAAACATTAATTTCTGTTATTTTCAATAAACAAGCAGTGGCATGATTACAGCTTTTACGTGTAGATGAATGTTTTATCTTTTAACCATTGGACAAAAAAACAATAAAATTTTCCCAGGTTTTGTCAACAGAAGTAAGGGAATGCTCTTGAAACTATACTAAAAGAATATATTCGTAATTGGTGAAAAAAATGGAACTGCTTTGTTGTATGATGACATCAAAATGTAAAGCAACATATTTCAATGCTGTAAATTTATCGTGAATACATAAACATGGAAAAGGTTTTAAAAGATAAGATTGTTGGTATATGTTAACTCTGACATAATTAACGTTTAATGAGTTTGATAGAAGTTTTATCGCAGTATTTGCTCGGAGTTCGTTTCTAGTGCAGTTGAAAGTACGAACATAAAAATAGGTTCGTGCGTACACGTGGCCAGCCTGTCTAACATATGAGCGCAAATTAAAGTATATTCATAAAGATAGTTAAAATAATATAGCCTACTCTGAACCTTGGCTGGCGTAAACCAAACACAACAAATAAAGTTGCAGCTATTTCTTTTAAGTCACGTAAGCAACAGATTTTAAAATGATCGTTAACAACTGTCGCATTTAAATAATATTGACAATGACCGCGCGTTATGTCTACAAAAAGACTAAGAACGAGCTGCTTCAGTGGATCTGAAAGAGACAAAACCGTACTTCTTCCTGAGTCCACACGGTCTCATCTTTGTTTTCGTGATAATCATGAAACGTCAAAAGACAGTTCTCTTTTCAAATCATAATCACAAATTATAGGTTGTGTAAAAGCACTTACGATAACACAACGGCATGTTTGGTAGAATTGGGTGAAATATATCACAATGGGTGATTTGGCTTCTACGTTAAACGAAAAATAGTGTTCTTCAAAGATGTTCTTAACGAAAAAAAAAGTTGTTTGACTAGCATGACCTCCAGATACGCATCTCAGTATTTTAATTTAGATTCACAACAACTAGCTAAGTCAATAAAGGACAATTGCTAAATCTAAAATTAGTTTAAAATCATATCAGCCAGTCATTGAAGATGCCAAGAAAGCAACCCCTCTTTCATAAAAGCGGTGATCACCACCCTGCTCAACAAATTCCATTACGACAGTGAAAAGAAGCTCGCGACGATTCTGATTAAGATACACAGGAAGTGTGACCTAAACAGAAGTACAAAATATGTTCAATAAATTTTCAAGGACGTTATAAAATACTAGCTAACTTCAAATTAGACTTTTTTTTCTAAAAGACCATTTATCCATAGTTAAAGACACTTGCCTTTGCTTGTTTGGACAGTTTATCATCGTCAGAAAATCTGGAAATAACCAAAACATCAATTATTACAACACATGTTCTCTTGAAATAAATAATTTCAAAAAGCAAATGTTTGTTTCTACCTGATCCAACTAAGACTCGTCAATGGCAGGTCAGTTGTGATAACTGTCGCAAGCTCTAAACGATTATTCACACATTTTGCACCTTGAAGTTTCAAACCTAAACAAAAAATAATCAGTAAAGTAAAGAGAGCATCACATATTGCTTACACACGTAATTTGAGTCAAGAAAAACAGTTTTGTTCAAATTCATGCAGAATAAGCATTAACTTCTAAATTGACTTTACGCTCAAATATAGTATCGCTAAATAGCATAATGTAACAATCTAATCTTACTTAAATACCTGTAATACCAAAACTGCAGTCATCAAGTTCTATTTCTTCATTCTTCCCACGTAATATAGTCATCTAAATGTGACAAAACATGTTTAAAAAACTTGAATATAGTCAGACGACTGCAAATATTACTAAAGATAAATTAGATTTGAGAGTAAGGGTACCTTCAGGGAAAGCTCTTCCAAAGACCAATTATTAGCTTGAGCAACATATTGTCTGGTTGCTGTTATATAGGCTTCAGGAACAAACAACCATCCAAGATGAACACGGAGGTTCTAGGTAACAAAAAAAGTTTTGATCAAGATCTTTTACAAATGTCAGAGTTATCTTTAATAAGAGATGAAAGAGAGCTTGAACAACTTTAACGTAAAGTACAAATAAGTGATGGCTTTCATCGATCATTGATGTTTAAAAGTTTCAACGAGCGTAAATTTAGCAACAAGTGAAGAAGTAAACAGCAAGGAGCGTAAATTTAGCAACAAGTGAAGAAGTAAAAAGCAACGAACGTAAATCATAAGGACATATATGGTTTTATGTGGACGTTTCTCATACCTTCAGTCCTTTATTAGATCCACTGTGTGAAACGGTAGAAATTTGTTGAAGTTGTTGTATACGGTCACTGAAATCAGCAATCTACTGAATGACAGTAAGACCTGATGGAACTGTATAACGACGCCAATTCTTGGGAAGAATAGCTAAAATATCAAACATGAAATTATAAATAGCAACAAAATACGAGAAACATAGAATTATATATTAAAAAATAGGATTCCCATGTGCTACGGAGATATTTCGTTGACAAAAATATATTCCGTCTGCAAAGTTGTGAATAAAAGAGAAATTTTTGTCGTACCTTTCATCAAATCACTTATAACATTCCTTAGATAATTTGTTGGCTTTTTTACTTGCTCACAAACACCAATAACATTTTGTAGATCACTACGGACCGTTGTAAGCAATCCTATTCCAACATTTACCAGCGCAACGAAACAGAAAGATAAACAGATTACAAACCACATCATACTGCGGGTTTTTATACCAAAAAATTGATCAAACTGATTTAGACGATTTATTATTGTTGGAACTTGTTCACAGTTCACTTTGCAAGGAATCTCTGATCATTCTCGTTTTAAAGTATTAACATTAAGATAATAACGATACTTTATACTAAAGACGTGATTTTGCCGTCACAATTTACCTCGCGTTCAAAGAATCGGAATAAAGGATCTTTGATGTTTTCATTGGTGCGTTTCAAGGCAACAAGTTCCTAAATTAAGATTAAGTCCAGAATTGCTCTCAAGAAAAAACTAAATTTTGGTCAATTATTTTACTTAGGGCAGTACCGTAGCCAGCCTGACTTACCCCAGCTAAGCAAAAATTTTGTGTCTACTGACATGGCGGTAATAAATCTACAGGCAGGCTACTCTACTGGACTGGGGTAGACGCACCTCCGGTACCATTGCCAACCAATTAGTGGCTGTGCTATGTAACGATCTCATCCATGCTGGACGGGTATCATTAGAGATCAGAGACTGGTTTCTGCAAAGATAAGTGATTTTTAATAGATAAAGACAAT